GTTCCAGGGCACCCCTCTTTCTCACTCTTAATTTTATTTTATTGTTTTTAAATCATCCCATCACAGTCAACTTGCATTCAGGACCTCTTTGTACGTACCTTCTAACTGCCCTAAAAATGATAACGTTTTTAAGACTTCCAACTACCCAACCATTTAACCTTTTGGAATCCCTTGTAATTTCTCTTTCATGTTAACCTTTTTATGCTTCTCTTGAGTCTTGTATTTGAAAGTTAGGTTTTCTGTTTCACTCTGGTCTTTCATCAGGAATGCTTGAAAATCTCTCTTACACTAAATTCATTTTTTTCCACTGAAGGATTATCCTCAGTTTTTCTGGGTAGGTTATTCTTGGATGTAATCCTAGTTCCTTTGCCCTCCAGAAGTACACATTCCAAGTTCTTTGATCCCTTAATCTGGAAGTTCTAAATGTTGTATTATCCTGACTCTGGCTCCATGATACTTGAACTGTTTATGATTGTTTGCAACATTTTCTTTTGGACCTAGGAGCTCTGGAATTTGGCTAAATTCCTGGGAGTTTTCATTTGGGGATCTCTTTAAGGAGGTGATCAGTGTATTCTTTCCATTTACATTTTATCCTCTGGTTCTAGCATATGAGGACAGTTGTATTTGAGAATTTCTTGTAATATGCTGTGTAGGCTTTTTTTTTCTTTTTCATTGTAATCATGGCTTTCAGGTAGTCCAAGAATTCTTAAATTTTCTCATTGATCTATTTTCTAGGTCAGTTGTTTTTCAAATGAGATATTTCGTATTTTCTTCTATTTTTTCATTCTTTTGATTTTGTTTGATTGATTCTTGATGGTCTCGTAGAGTAATTAGCTTCCCCTTGCCCAATTCTAATTTTTAAGTTATTGTTTTCTTCAGTGTTTTTTTTTGTACTTTATTTTACATTTGGGCAATTTTGCTTTTTAAGGAGTTCTTCTCTTCAGTGAATTTTTGTGCCTCTTATAATTTGACCAATTCTGTTTTTGAAGGAGTTATTTTCTTCAGGATTTTTGTGTGCTTCTTTTATTAAGCTGTTGACTTTTTTTTTCCTGTATTTTTTCTTGTATCACTCATTGCCCCCCTCAGAATTTTTCATCTTTTTTCTTATTTTATTTTAAAAATACTTTTTGAGCTCTTCTAGAAATTTTTTGGGCCTGTGACCAATTCACATTTTTCTTTGAGGCTTTGCATGTAGCTGCTTTGATTTTTTTTTTTTACCCTTCTCGGTTTGCTTATTGACTACATCCCATAAATTTTGGTTTGTTGTCATTTTCTTTAATGAAATTATTGATTTTTATATGATTTGTTTTTTGACTCAATTATTTTTTAGGGATAGTTTATTTAGTTTCAAATTAATTTTCAATTTATTTTTCTACTACCCTTTAGTGAATGTAAATTTTATTGTATTATGATCTAAAAAGAATGCATTTAATATTTCTGCTTTTCTGCGTTTGGTTGTGAGGTTTTTATGCCCTAATACTTGGTCACTTTTTGTGTAGGTGCCACGTGTCACTGAGAGAAAGGTATATTCCTTTCTATTCCCTTTCAATTTTCTTCAGAGATCTATCATATCTAACGTCTCTAGAATTCTACTCACCTCCTTAACTTCTTTCAAGTTTATTTTTTGGTTAGATTTATTTAATTTTGAGAGGGGAAAGTTGAGGTCCCCCCACTAGTACAGTTTTATTGTCTATTTCCTTTTGTAACTCATTTAACTTCTTTAAAAGTTCACGTGCGATACCATTTGTGCTTATATATTTAGTATTGTCATGACTTCATTTTCTGTGGTACCTTTTAGCAAGATATAGTTTCCTTCTTATCTCTTTTAATTAGACCTATTTTTGCTTTTGCTTTATCTGAGATCATGTTTGCTGCTTCTGTTTTTGTGTTTGTTTGTTTTTACTTCAGTTGAAGCATAATAGATCCTGCTCTCCAGCTTTTTACCTTCACTCTACATATGTCTCTCTGCTTCATATGTGTTTCTTGTAAACAACATATTGTAGGATTCTCATTTTTAATCCACTCTACTATCTGTTTTATGGGTGAGTTCATCCCATTCACATTCACAGTTATGATTATTAACTGTGTATTTCCCTCTACCTTATTTTTTCCCTTTTGTACTTCTCCCTCTCTTTCTCTCTTCTTTCACTCTGTCCTGCCTCATCAGTGTTTTGTTTTTAACCACTGCCTCCCTCAACCTGCCCTCCCTTCTGTCAGTCCCCCTCCCCTTTTTTGTCTGCCTTCCCTCCTACTGTAAATATGAGCTAAGATATAATATAAGCTAAGATAGATTTCTGTACCCAACTGAGAGTGTATATTATTCCCTCTTTGAGCTAAATCTGATGAAAGTAAGGTTCAAGCAATGCTCAGCCCCCTCCCCTCTGTCCTTTCATTGTAATAGGTTGTTTGTGCCTCTTCATATGAGATAATTTACCTTATTCTCCCTCTTCCTTCCTTCTTCTCCCACTGTGATCCTCTTTCTCACCCCTTCTTTTTTTTTATACCATCCTATCAAGGTCAACTTATACCTGCACCCTCTGTCTGTGTTAATATTCCTTCTCACTGCCCTAACAGTGATATGGAAAGACTTCTGTTTCACTAAATGTCCATTTATGCTGCTGAAGGATTATGCTCAGTTTTGCTGGGTAGTTTATTCTTGGTTGTAATCCAAGTTCCTTTGCCTTATAGAATATCATATTCCAAGGCCTCCAGTCCAGTTAATGTAGAAGCTACTAAGTCCTGTGTAGTCCTGACTCTATGTCTTGATATTTGAATTGTTTCTTTCTGGCTGCTTGCAGTATGTTCTCTTTGACCTGGTAGCTCTGGAACTTGGCTATAATATTCTTGAGAGTTTTCATTTTAGGATTTCCTTCTGGAGGTGATTCTTTCAATTACCAGTTTACCCTCTGGTTCTCATATATCAGGGTAGTTTTCCTTAATAATTTCTTGTAATATGCTGTCTGACCTCTTTTTTTGATCGTAGTTTCAGGTAGTCCAATAATTCTTAAATTGTCTCTCCTTGATCTGTTTTCCTGGTCAGTTGTTTTTCCAATAAATTCTCTAACATTTTCTTCTATTTTTCCATTCTTTTCATTTTGTTTGATTGATTCTTGATGTCTCGTAGAGTCATTAGCTTCCACTTGCCCAATTCTAATTTTTAAGGAATGTTTTTCTTGGAGCTTTTGTATCTCCTTTTCCATTTGGCCAGTTTTACTTTTTAAAGCATTCTTTTCTTCAGTGGATTTTTGTGCCTTTTTTATGAAGCTGTTGACTTTCTTGTTCTAAATATTAACAGTGACACAAACTTATAATAAATTATAAGAGAACTGGGAAAGGTAAAGCTCCAAATGAATTGGTGTTTAGGAAATATGTTACAGGTAAAAAAAAGGTTTCAGATGTTTGGAACATGAAAACAAATATGGTAATTGATAGGAAAAGGTTCAGAGAAGCTAAAATGAGCAACTTTGATTAAAAAAATGTGAAAAGATCTGTGTAAGCAAGTGCTATTAAAAATGCTTAAATGAGAAACAAAATCTTTGCAGCAAGTTTCACTGATAAAAGACTCATTTCCAAGATCCCTAAGGAACTTAATCAAATTTATAAGAATAATATCACTTCTCCTTTTGATAAATAGTCAAGGGACATGAACAGGCAGTTTTCAAAGGAAGAATCCAAGCTATCAACCACCACATAGGGGGAGAATGCTCCAAATCACTAATAATTAGATAGGGAAATGAAAATGAAGTAAATTGTGAGGGCTTTATCTCACAACCATCAGATTGGCAAGGGCTACAAGAACAGCAGAAAGAGGGAAATGACAAATGTTGGGAAACCTATTGGGAAATAGGAACATTAATTGTTGATGGGACTATGCATTGGTTGTGCTGTTCTGGGAAGCCATTTGGAACAATGCCTCAAAAGTCATTTAACTTAAATTCAGATTTTAACAAATGAAATTTTAAAAGTTGCAGGACTGCTGTGAGTCAGTAAGCATTTATTAAGTCCTTGATATGTGTTAAGCATTGCTAAGCATTAGGAATACAGAGAAAGGCCAAAAAATAAAAAATAAAATGGTTCCTGCTTTTAAGGAGCTTACAGTCTAATGCAGGAGACAACATGGAAAGAACCATGTGCAAATAAGACAGGTAAAGGATAAAATGGAGGTAGTTAACAGAGAGGAGTCCTGACTGTTAAGGAGGATAAGGAAAGACTCCTCAGAGAGGAGGCAGGAGAGGATTCCAGACCTGGGGGAGAGCTAGGGAAATACGCAGTTGGGAGATGACAACCAGGAGGCCTGTGTCCCTGGGTCACAGAGGATGTAAGGTGGTCAAGAAGGGGTGAGAGGCCTGGAAAGCGAGGAGCATACCAGATAATAAAGGGCTCCGGATGCCAAATAGAGGATTTTGTATTTGATTCTGGAGGTTGACATAGGGAGTCCTTACTCTGGCCTAGAAATCCCACTGCAAACTCATATCCCAGAGAGGTCGAAGACACAGAGTAGAGTCCCATAGGAATGAAAATATTTAAAGCAAACCTTTAGTGAAGACAAAGAAGCAATGTAAGATACCTATTGATAAAGGATTGGCTAAAGAAATTGTTGACATTGGATATCAGGAAATATGATTATTCCATAAGAAACAGTGACATGCCCCATAAGAAACAGTGACATGCCCCATGGCTTCATCTGTTGATGAGCCCTAGCTTCCTGGGTCTCCTCTCTGATGCTTGGGGGACCCTGGTCCGGTGCCCAGATCGCATGTATCTCCAAACCATTGTTTGCAGAGGGCTGATCTGCCTTGCTAGAGGAAGCTCCTCATACAGCCTGCTCCGCCTCCCTGGTGAAGTCACAAATCTAGTTCAAGCAAAGTAACTTTTCTTCTAATTTTCTTTTCATTCTATAGACTTAAAATGATCATTATGTGGAAGGATGGTCATTCCTTAGACACTGACAGGCAAAAGTGGGTGCTCTCATGGTCTGATTTCTCTTTCCTTGTTCCTAGCTCTGTCCCAGTTGAAGAGCAAGCCGAGTTCAAGCAACTCTTAGAGGACATCCATGAGCTGCAGCAGACACTGAACGGGTTTCGTCAGAAGACAGTATGACCCTGTTTTTCTTCAGACTCTTTGGGAGTTTCTGACTTTGGGCTGATAGAGCTCATGGGATGTGTTGGGTTTGTTTTCCCCTGCTCAAATAAAGTTTAGACATCATGGCCCTGGAACATGCGATTTGGGGCTCCACCTCTAGGTCTCAAGTGTTCCCTCCTGAACCTAAAGCTAATATAGATCATTTCATAAGAGGAGATTAGCCAGATGTAGAAGTGATCTTCCCTGGAGATCTGGAAGAGGAAGAGTGTGTCCAGAATCCAATCCAAGAGGTCAGGGCACCTCCCAAATCATCAGGAGTTTAGGCAGATGATATTATCAAGCATGATGTTATAGAATGGTGTCTTGGCTTGGATTAGTGATTTGGGACACGTGACTTCCCCATTCTGGACCTCAGTTTTTCCTCATGATGTAAAATGGGCATAAAATGTAATTCCTGTGCAGTGAATGGGTTAAAATTCTTAATCTTTTTTTGTGTTGTGGACTCCTTTGGCATTCTGTGGAAGCCTAAAAACTTGTCAGAAGAATTTTAATGTCTAAAATAAAATCTATAGAATTATAGAGGGAACCAATTAAATTGAATTAAGGCAAAATATTTTTGAAAAACAAGTTCCTGGATTCCAGGTTAAGAACCCTGGGATAATCTGTAAGGTCTCTTTCAGGTTCAACATTCTATGGCTGTCCTGCTGTCCTAACAGCAGTAGTAACCTTCACAGATGGAGTTTAGACCAGGAGCCAGAGAGGAAGAATTTGCTAGTATTTCTTCAGACCTCTCAAGGGTGAGGGTGTTCTGGTTCTAGAAGCTGCTAGTGATTCTTTAGACAAAAATCTCCATGAAGTAGAAGAGGGCATTTTATTATATCTAATGTTTTATTTTTGCATATAAAAACAAATTACAAAAATATATTTTTATTATGATATTCTGTTGTGACTTTGTGGAAGATTTTACAGGTATGTACCTTTCTTTGTTCTGATACTGTGCTCACCAAGCAACTGTTCAGTTTTTGTATCATCGAATTTCCTGAAATGACTTAACCTGGTAGGAGATAATGAATGCCCTGTTCACATGACCAATAAAGGTTCTAATGCCAGGTCTACCTCCCACCCTAAATTCAGGAATTAGGGTTCTGATATATTGGTACGACATAGGAATTTAGTTAATGTGAACCTGTATCCCACAGCCTTATCATTCTTGGGTCAGCTGGTGGATGCAATCACTGTGTTTATAATGCTCCTACTATTCATGTGCTGGTGCTGTTTGAGTGTTGTTAAAGCTGTGTCCTGTCTTTATAAGATTGGATATTTGTGCTGGTTATAAGTGGGGGTGTAAGGAAAAAAAACACTTAAGTTCTGTTTAAACCAATGGTAGATTTTGTTTAAAAGTATTTTCAGGGTTATTAAATAATTCTTAATTACTGTTTCCTGACCTAGGTAACAATACAAGAAGGAATTTCCCAGAAGAAGTTAGACCTTTCTAAGACCACTAAACGTTTGGTAAACATCTTCATTAATTTCCATTTAACTAGACTTGCAACTGTGAGCTTGGGAAGTCAGATGAGGAATGTTGGAGCTGTGTGGATGGCTTAGACAGTCACTTAGACAGTGCAATGAAGCTTTCATTGGACAGCAAACATTTCCTTATCTGAGGAACACAGTCATGTCCACAAGGTTTTCTTGTCCTAGTGGAAACATTAAAACAAAATCTCTTGTCCATAAAGGGACAGCAGTCATGGTCTTGTGAAAAGAATGTTGGACTATAGCTAAGGAGCTCTGAGTTCTAGTCTTCATGTTGCTCTGTGACCTTGGGGAAGTCATTTGTCTCTGGGCCTCAGCCTATTCATCTATAAGATGAAAGTCACTCTGCAAGCATTTATTAAGCTCTTACTGTGTGCTAGGCACTGTGCTAAGCACTGGGAACACAAATATAAACAAAAAGATGAATAGTCCCTGTCCTTGAGGTTACAATACAGGAAAGGATGTTCTGAGGAGGGGAGAGGGAATGACTAAGACGTAATGGAAAGAGCCACCTGACCTGGATGCCTTCCTGAAATGAAAGTTCTGAGCTGAGTCCTGTGATCAGAGGAGGAGGCTCTGGGGCATGACAGTGAAGTCCAGACAGGTATAGCCTGGTGGGAAATGGAGGGAGTTGGCAAATGAGGGATAGAGGAGATCACAAAAGAAAATTTCAGTTACATAAAATCGAAAAGCTTTTGCACAAATGAAATTGGTGCACCTAGGATAAGGAGGGAAAAAATATAAACTAAATTTTTATTGATAACTTTTTGCTTTTATATCACCTAAAATTCTCTTAGTATTCCACTCCCTTCTGTTTCCCAGAGTGCCATTCCACATAACATAATTTTTCAAGAAAAAAAAAATAAAAAGAGGAAGAAAAAGAAAACAAAATCAGGAAAACCAATCACTACATCAAAAAACTCTGAAAATATATACAGTGGACCTCCTACCTCTCCAAAGGAATTAGGAAGACATCATCTTGTCATATTTTCTCTTTGGGGCCATACTTGTTTATTGTAATTCTGCAACATTCTCCTTTTGTTTTGTGGTAGTTACTCTTTCTATTTACATTGTTGTGGTCGTTATGCGTGTTGTTTAAAATTTATTTTTAACATTCATTTAAAAAAAAATTTGAGTTCCAAATTCTTTTCCTCCCACCCCTTCCCCACCTATTTTTAAAAAATTTAATATTTCATTTCTTCTCGTAGTTTACATATTAAAACAATTTTTAAACATTTTTTTAAAAAAAGTTTCAAGTTCCAAATTCAGTCTCTTCATCTCTCCCCTCCCCTGTCCCTGAGACGGTAAACAGTCTGACACAGATTATGCGTGTGCAATTGTGTAACACTTCCATATTAGTCATTTTTAGAAGACTCGAATTTAAAAAAAGAATGAAGAAAGTGAAAAATAGCCTGCTTCAGTCTGTATTCAGATCATACAGTTCTTTCTCCAGAGGCAGATAGCACGCTTTATCAGGAGTCCTTTGGGATTGTCTTGGATCATTGTATTGCTGAGAATAGCCAAGTTCTTCACAGTTCTTCACCATACAATGTTGCTGTTACCATATACAACATTCTCTTGGTTCTGCTCACTTCTCTTTTCATTATTTCACATAAGTCTTTCCATGTTTTTCTAAAGTCATCCAGCTCATCCTTTCTTTCAGCTCAGTAGTATTCCATCACAATCATATACCATAACTTGTTCAGCCATTCTTTAATTGATGGGCATCTCCTCAATTTCCATTTCTTAGCCACCACAAAAAGAACTGCTGTAAGTATTTTTCTACAAATAAGCCCTTTCTTCTTCCTCCCCCCCCGCCTTAAAAATTTCTTTGGGATACAGACCTGGCAGTGGTATTACTGCATCAAAGGGCATGCACAGCTTTATGGCCCTTTGGGCATAGTTGCAAATTGCTCTCCAGTGGTTGGTCAGTTCACAACTCCACCAACAGGGCATTAGTGTCCCAGTTGTCTCATATCTCCTCCAACATTTATCATTTTCCTTTTTTGGCATATTAATCAATCTGATAGGTGTGAGGTGGCACCTCCGTAGTTTTAATTCACAGTTCTCTAATCAATAATGATTTAGAACATTTTTATATGACTATACATCGTGTTGATTTTTTTTTTGTCTAAAAACTACCTGTTTGTATCCTTTGACCATTTATCAATTGGGGAATCATTTTTATTTTTATAAATTAGTCTCAATTCTCTATATATTTGAGAAGTTGGGCCTTTTTCAAAGATACTGTAAATTCCCCCCCCTCCCAGTTTTCTGCTTTCCTTTTAATTTTGGTTGCTTTGGTTTTGTGCAAAAACTTCTTAATTTTGTATAATAAAAATTATCTTACTTTACATTTTGTAATGTTCTCTGTATTTCCTTTGGTCCTAAATTTTTTCCTTATCAGTAAATCTGACAGGTAAAATATTCTGTGGTCTCCCGATTTGCTTATGGCATCACCCTTTATGTGTAAATCATGTATCCGTTTTGACCTTATTACAGTATACAGTGTGAGATATTGGTCTATACCGAGTTTCTGCCATACTGTTGTCTGTACAGTAGTTTTTGTGAAATAATGAGCTTCTGTTCCAAAAGCTTGGATCTTTGGGTTTATCATATGCCAGATTACTATGGTCATTTAATGTAATGTGTACCTAATCTAGTCATTGATCCATCACTCTGTTTCTTAGCCAGTACAGATTGTTTTGATAAATACCGCTTTATACAATATGACTTATTTTAAGGGAAGTGCCCAAGGTCACACATTGAGTGAGTGGCAGATTGTGGCCAGATTCAGATTTGCAGCCTCAGACCCAGTCCAGTGGTCTTTATGCTTCATGGCTAAAAGCAGTTTGGGTTTTGTGTTACCACATTGACCATCCATTGATTTGATTTATCCATCTTAAACTTCATTATTGTGGGGAAAGAACCCTGTTCTCCCAAAGAGATCATCTAATCTAAAGCTTCAATATTCTTTCTCAACAGAATGAATTAAAATTGTCACTAGTTACTTTGAAAGAAGAGCAGGAGAGTTTGAAAGCAAAAATTGTGGACTCTCCAGAGAAGTTAAAGAATGATAAAGAGAAAATGAAAGAGACAGTGCAGAAACTCAGAAATTCAAAGGTGAGTAATTCTGAACTTTTTTTTAATGGTTTAGAGAAAGTAACTTTATTATTTTTTTATACTATTTTTTTCCCAATTACATGTCAAGATAATTTTTAGCATTAATTTTTATACTATTTACAGTGTCTTTTTTTGTCAATACTTTTTTCAAATTGTTATTTTCTTTTTTAAAAATTAATTTATTTTAAACTTTAATATTTAAATATACAATAAGAAAAGGAAAAGAGACATTATAAACTTAAATACAAAATAAGATACCTTGATATTCTTGACCTTTTATTCTTCCAGATGAATTTTGTTATTTTTTCTTGCTGTTATCAAATAATTTTTTTTGGTAGTTTGATTGGGATGGCACTGAATAAGTGAATTAGTTTAGGCAGAATTGTCATTTTTATTATATTGGCTAGGCCTACCCATGAGCAATTGATACTTTTCCAGTTGTTTAGATCTGACTGTATTTGTCTGAAAAGTGTTTTGTAATTGTGTTCATATAGTTCTTGGGTTTGTCTTGGCAGGTAGATTCCTTAATATTTTATATTTTATACAGTTAATTTAAATGGAATTTCTCTTTTCTACCTCTTGCTGCTATGCTTTGTTGGTCATCTTATGTCCTGCAACTTTGCTAAAGTTATTAATTATTTCAAGTAGTTTTTTAGTTGATTGTCTAGAGTAGGCCTGCAGAACATATGGCCTGCGGACAGTATGTTGCGCAGGTCTGTTTTAGATCCTCTACATTTTTTGTGGGCTGCTCAGAATCCTTTGGCAGACCTCAAGCAGTGAGTGGGCCTTATGTTGTGCAGGCCTGTTCTAGGGTTCTCTATGTCATCATATCATTTGCAAAGAGTGATAATTTTGTTTCCTCATTGCCTATTATAATTCCTTCAATTTCTTTTTCTTTTCTTGTTATAGCTAATATTTCTTGTACTATATTGAATAATAATGGTGATAATGGGCATCCTTGCTTCACCTTGATCTTATTAGAAAGGTTTTTAGCTGATCCCCATTACAGATAATGCTTGCTGATAGTTTGAGATAGATACTGCTTATCATTTTAAGGAATGCTCCCTTTATTTCTATGCTCTCTAGTGTTTTTAATAGGAATAGTTGCTACATTTTGTTAAAATTTTTTTCAGCATCTGTCGAGATAATCTTATGATTTCTATTGCTCTTGTTATTGATAGGGTCAATTACGTTGGTGGTTTTCCTAAAATTGAACCAAACCTGCATTCCTGGTATAAATTCCTCCTGGTCATAGTATATAATCCTTGTGATACACTGCTGTAATCACCTTGCTAGTATTTTGTTCTAAATTTTTGCATCGATACTCATTAGGAAAATTGATCTATAATTTTCTTTCTTTGTTTTATCTCTTCCTGATTTAGGTATTAACACCATATTTCTTTCATAACAGGGGTTTGGAAGGACTTCTTTTCCCCCTATTTTTCCAGATAGTTAATATGGTATTGGAATTAACTGTTCTTTGAATGTTTGGTAGAATTAATTCACTTGTGAACCCATCTGGCCCTGGGGATTTTTTCTTAGGGAGTACATTAATGACTTGTTCCAATTTCTTTTTCTAACATGTGGTTATTTAGGCTATTCTATTTCCTGATATGTTAATCTGGATAATTTATATTTTTGTAAATATTCATTGATTTCGCTCAGATTGTCAAATTTATTAGCATATAATTAGGCAAAATATTCCTTAATGATTGTGTTAAATTCTTCATTGGTTGTGATTTCACCCTTTTCATTTTTGATAGTGGATATTTGTTTTCTTTTTTTAAAAAACAAAATTAACCAATGGCTTGTCTACCTTATTTCCCCACCATAAAACAGCTTCTAGATTTATTTATTAGCTAAATAGTTATTTTTACTTTCAATCTTATTAATCTCACCTTTGATTTTCAGAATTTCAAATTTGGTGCTCAATTGGAGCTTTTTAATTTGTTCTTTTTCTATTTTTTTTAGTTGCATGACTAATTCATTGATCTGCTCTTTCTCTGTTTTATTGATGTAAGCATTTAGAGAAATAAATTTTCCTCTATGTACTGCTTTGGCTGCATCCCATAAATTCTGGTATGTTGTCTCATTGTTGTAATTCTTTTTAATGAAATTATTGATTGTTTCTGTGATTTGTTCTTTGACCCACATATTCAATAGGATTAGATTATTTAGTTTCCAATTAATTTTTAATCTATCTTTCTACTGCCTTTTGTTGAATGTAATTTTTATTGCATTATGATCCAAAAAGAATAGTTTTAATATTTCTGCCTTTCTGCATTTGATTTTGAGGTTATTATTCCCAAAAACGTGGTCAGTTTTTGTGTAGGTGCCATATGCTGCTGCTGAGAAAAAGGTATATTCCTTTTTGTTCCCATTCAGTTTTCTCCAAAAGTCTGTCATATTTACCTCTTCATTTATCTCCTTAGCTTCTTGTTTCTTTTTGTTGTTGGATTTATCCAGTTCTGAGAGGGGATAGTTGAGGTCCCATACTAGTATGGTTTTGCTGTCTATTTCTTCCTGTAACTCATTTAACTTCTGTCAGAATTTGGTTACTTATACCTCTTGGTGCATATATGTTTAATATTGGTGTTACTTTATTGTCTATGGTACCTTTTAGCAAGATGTAGTTTCCTTCCTTAACTCTTTTAATTAGGTCTATTTTTGCTTTTACTTTGTCTGAGATCATGATTGCTACCCCTGTTTTTTTTACTTTAGCTGAAGCATAATAAATTCTGCACCAACCCCTTACCTTTACTCTGTGTGTGTGTGTCCCTGTGCTTCAAGTGTGTAATTTGTAAACAGCATATTGTAGGATTCTGGTTCTGCATTCATTTTATGGGTGAGTTCATCCCATTCAAATTCACAGTTATGATTATTAACTATATATTTTTCTCCATTCTATTTTTCCTCCTTTTTGTTCTCACTCTCCTTTCATCCCTCCCCCATGTTTTGCTTCTGTCTACCACCTCCCCAGATCTGCCTTCCCTTCTGTCAGTTCCCCTGCCTTTACTTAATCTCCTCCCCTCCTACTTTCCTGTTTTGTAAGACAAGTTTCTATATTCAACTGATTGTGTATATTATTCCATTTTTGAGCCAGTACTGGTGAGAGTAAGGTTCAAGCCATGCCCATCACCCAGACTTCCATCTTCCCTTCCACTGTAATTGGTTTTTTGCGCCTCTTCATGTGAAATAATTTACCCTGTTCTACCTTCCTTCTGCATCCATTGTTACTCCTTTTTTCATCTCTTAATTGTTTTTTATGTCATTCCCTCAAATTCACCTTGTACCTGTACCCTCTATGTGTATTCCTTCTAGCTATACTATTAGTGATACAATTTTTAAGAATTACAAGTATTGAATCCCTTATACTTTCTTTTCCTTTTTTATCTGTTTATGCTTCTCTTAAGACTTGATATTGGAGATCAAATTTTTGGTTTAATTCTGGTCTTCTCCTTAAGAAAGCTTGAAGCCCTTCTATTTCATTGAATGACCATTTTTTCTCTTGATATATCATGCATAATTTCATTGGGTAAGTGATTCTTGCTTGTAGTCCTAGCTCCTTTGCCTTCAGGAATATCATGTTCCACAGCCTCTGATCTGTTAATGTTGCAGCTACTGTGTAATTCTGATTGTGACTCCTTGGTATTTGAATTGTTTCTTTCTGGCTACTTGCAGTATTTTTTTCTTTGACCTGATAGTTCTGAATTTTGGCTATAATGTCCCTTGGAGTTTTTATTTTGGGATTGCTTTCCTGAGGTGATTGGTGGATTCTTTCAATGCCTACTTTGCCCTCTGGTTCCAGTATATCAGGGCAGTTTTCCTTGAAAAAATTTTTTTAATATTTTTTTCCCAATTATGCATAAAAACAGTTTTTGATATTTGTTTTTAAATTTTGAGTTCCAAATTCCCTCCCTTCCTTGCCCTGGCCATAAGATCGTAAGCAATTTGATATAGGCTGTATATATCCAGTCATGGGAAACATATTTTCACATTAGTCACGCTGTGAAAGAAAACACAGACAACCCCCTCTCCTCCCCACAAAAAAATCACAAACAGTATGCTTTGCTCTACATTCAGACTCCATCAGTTCTTTCTCTGGAGGTGGATGGTATTTTTCATCATGAGTCCTTTGAAATTGTCTTCAGTCACTGTATTGTTGAGAATAGCTAAGCCATTCACAGCTGATCATAGTACAATATTGCACAGACATACCTTATTCGAAACAACAAAACACAAAAGAGATATTTGAAAGATTAATTGCTTAGGGGTGGTCTGTGCCAATATACATGGCATTTCCAGATGCAGTAGGTTGCTTTGTAGAACAAAAACAAAAACAGCCTAACCACCCCCACTTCATTTGTGGTAACAAAAGATCAGGAATGTCAAGTAGAAATGAAAAGAGAAAAGTGAGGAAGAAGTGGCCCAGCAGTACCAGGTCTTAAATTATTTAAATGTGCAATAGTCATCAAAACCATTTAGCACTGGTTTAAAAAAAGATTTAAAAATAAATGATCAATGAAACAGGTTAGGTATAAAAAATCCAAAAGCAAAAACACCTGAAAAATCTGATAATTCTAGTTACTGGGGCAAGCATATGAAAAAATACTTATAAAATCTGCTGGAAATGATGAAAAGCAGTAGGGCAGAAATTAAAGTTATACAGCATCTCACACCTTATACCTCAAGAAAGCCCAAGTGGACACATAACCTAGTTTTTTTTAAAGTTTGGGCTATTCCCAAATAGGAAAGTGGTCAAAGAATATAAACAGGCAGTTTTCAAAAAAGTAAGGCAAATGTTAACAAAGCAAATTAAAAGTAGATCATGTGTACATTTTCCCCCTCAGTGAGCCGATTGTTAAGCTTTTACTGTCACACCACTATTTTAAAACCCTTTTCAGCACGACTCCAATCTACCTTTTTTTTCCTTTTATTAATTTATGTTAATTTATCAACAATCAATCACTTCTGTAAGCTTTTGAGTTTTACATTTTTTCCCTCTCCTTCCCCACCTCCCTCCCCAAGACAGCTCACAAGCTGATATAGGCTATACATATACATTCCTATTAAACATATTTTCACATTAGTGATGTTGTAAGAAAGAATTAGAACTAATAGGAGGAACCACAAGAAAGAGAAAACAACAAAACAGAAGAAGAAAAAAATAGCAAATAGTATGCTTCGATCTGCATTTAAACTCCATAATTGTTTATCTGGATGTGGATAGCTTTTTTCCATCATGAGACCTTTGGAGATGTCTTAGATCTTTGCATTGCTGAGAAAGGCTAAGTCTATCAACGTTAGTCATTGTATAATGTGGCTGTTACTGTGTACGACATTCTCCTCATTCTGCTCACTTCACTCAGCATCAGTCCATGCAAATCTTTCCAGGTTTTTCTGAAGTCCACTCATTCATCATTTCTTATAGCGCAATAGTATTCCATTACATTCATATGCCACAACTTGTTTAGCCACTCCCCAGTTGGTGGGTTTCCCCTCAATTTCCAATTCTTTGCCACCATAAAAAGAGCTGCTATAAATATTTTTGTACGTGTGGGTCCTTTTTCTATTTTGATGATCTCTTTGGGATACAGCCCTAGAAGTGCTATTGCTGGATCAAAGGGTATGCACATTTTTATAGCCCTTTGGGCATAGTTCCAAATTGCTCTCTAAAATGGTTGTATCATTTCACAACTCCACCAACAATGCATTAGTGTTCCAATTTTCCCACATCTTCTCCAACATTTCTCATTTTCCTGTTTTGTCATGTTGGCCAATCTGATAGGTGTGATGTGGTACCTCAGAATTGTTTTGATTTGCATTTCTCTAATCAGTAGTGAGTTAGAGCATTTTTTCATATGACTATAGATGGCTTTAATTTCCTCATCTGAGAATTGTCTGTTCATATCCTTTGACCATTTATCAGATGTTGGGAAATGACTTGTATTCTTATAAATTTGACTTAATTCTCTATGTATTTTAGAAATGAGGCCCTTATCAGAGACACTGGTTGTAAAACTTCTTTCTCAGTTTTCTATTTTCCTTCTAATCTTGGTTGCATTGGCTTTGTGCAAAAACTTTTCAATTTAATGTAATCAAAATTATCCATTTTGCATTTTGTAATGCTCTCTATCTCCTGTTTCGTCATGAAGTCTTCTGTTCTCCATAGATCTGACAGGTAAACTACTCCTTGCTCTCCCAGTGTGCTCACAGTATCAGCCTTTGTATCTAAATCAGGAACCCATTTTGACTTTATTTTGGTATATGGTATGAGATTTTTTTTTTTCATTCTTTTGAATTTATTTGACTGGTTCTTGATTTCTCATAGAGTCATTAGCTTCCACTTGCCCGGTTCTAACTTTTAAGGAGTTTTCCTCAATTAATTTTTGTACTTTTCCATTTGGCCAGTTGTACTTTTTAAGGAGTTTTCTTTGGGGGAATTTTGTATCTGCTTTTCCATTTGGCCAATTCTACTTTTAAAGCAGTTGTTTTATTTTTCCAAGCTGTTGACTTTTTTCGCAATTCTCTTATTTCACTCTGATTTTTGTACCTCTCTTATATGGTTTTTAAGCCTCTTTTTGAGTTTTTCTGTGAGTTCTTCCTGGGCTTGAGACCACTTCCTGTTTTTCTTTAGGGTTTTGCCCGTGGGTATTTTCACGTTGTTGTCCTCTTCTAAGTTTGTGTCTTCCCTGTCACCATGATAACTTTCTGTGGTCAGATTCTTTTTTGTTGTTTTTTTGTTCATCTTTTTTGGCTTTTTTCCTTTCTTTTAAATTTGAGCTCTGCTCCCAGGGTGGAAGGGGCACTGTCTCAGGCTTCTTGTGCCAGGGGCTACAGGCCCCAGCTGTTTACCTGGTGCTGCACTGATGTTGCCCTGAGTCCCATGGCGGACCCTTGTGTCTGGTGCTGTGCTAAGGTGGTGGGGCAGGGCAGTGGACGGCACTGCTGGAGGCCATAGGGGTCTGGCAGCTTGCCTGATGCTGAGCCAGGGTCCTAGTGCTGGTGTCTGGCATATGCTGAGGACAGTGGGGTGTTTCTGCATTTCCCCAGGAATACTGAAATACGTGGTGCTCTGGCCGCTGGCGGCTGCCTGTTTGCCCAAGGCTATGCTGAAGCGTATGGCAGGGGCCTGGCACTGGTAGCTGCCTACTTACGTAAGCACTGATAGGACTGGAGTCTACCTGTTTTCCTGGGGCTACCCTGAAGCACACATGTGGGGGGTCCTGGTGTTGGCATTTGCCTGCTCTACCACACTGGGGCTCAGGATCTGCTGCTGGTTTGCTGAGGTAAGGCTTGCTGGTGGCTTGATAGGACACTTCCCATCCTGCGCTCCCCTTTTACCTGAATGAGAAAGACCTTTCCTGCCAATCTTCTAAGTTTCTTGGGCTCAAAGATTGTTTCATCCTGTCTTTTTGCTTGTTTTGCTATTCTAGGATTTCTTCTAGGGCACTATTTTATGTTTGTTTGGAGGTGAAAATGGGAGAGTTATGGCAATTTGCTGCTTACTCCTCCATCTTGGCTCCCAGAAGTCTGTCTGAGTTACTTCTTTTTGAATATTTTCCCCTGTGTTGGTCTCAATAATAGTTTATGAGCATCTTTCACTGAATCATAGATTTAATACTGGAAAGAATCATGGAAGCCATCTAGTCTAATCCCCTGGCTTATTCAGGGGTGATTTTCCAATTCACACATGACCTAGGCCCACCATGTAATCATTTCTGTTTCTCTCCAGTTTGCCTCTATTGGAAGAAGCAAAGGAAACCAGGGGTTGATTGTTCTACATTTTAACTTTTCTAGTTAAATTTTCTTGGGATAAAGATTAAATATATTGCCAGAAACAGAGCTGTGTTGTGGAAATCAATTGAAAGATTTAACATGGGTAATACAGTTGCTGTACAATTAATCAAGAATAGTTTTAGCATTAATGCCAGAAACAAAACATGTGTCATCACCAGTATTGGATAATGTATTTGGAAGTATCATGAGTGCATTTGTATTAAAGAGGGCCAAGGACATTTTTGCAGTTAAAGATAACAGTGTGCATTGCAGCTTATGATAGTCCTCTCTTACTAGAAACGGAATTGCTCCACATACAGTTCTGTGTTCTTGTTAAGTACAGAAATTATTGAAGAGCAAACAAACTGACATTGCTACAGTTTATATAAAGAAGATGATTGAACTGTGATTTCTATCAAGTATTTTTTCTTTTTAGCTTGAAGTGACTGAGAAATATGAAGCCTATAGAGATGCAATTGAGGGTATGCCTTCATTCCAAATGGAGCTACAGTTATATCAGAAGAAAATGCAAGAACTTGCAGAGAGCATGGACAAAGTAACAAGGATCTTGAAAGAGGTTTGTACTGTCTAATGCCAACACCTGCACTTCAGCAAGCCTTCACTGCTTCCTGTTGTGGAGGGAGACCCCAGCGCTCAAAGACTTCTGCCAGCTGAATCCAAGCTCTAGCATTTTCTGCCAGGCTTTTAAGTAGGGTCCTCCAAATCACCTCCTTTTTTCACTCAGGCTGCCCTCAAAACATATGGATAAAGATGAGATGATGGGCATATAGATTTATGGTTATTAAGATTTTCTTAATAATCTTGGTGGCAATAGGAATGAATGCCCATGGTTTTTTCCTATATGTGCAGCATCTACCCCAGATGCTGAATATCCTGAGATGTCATCCCTTGAAATTCTCAAAATTGTGTTACTTCCAAAATGGGCCTCCTTTGTGCATACTTCACCTCCTGTAAAATATTAGAGCCTGGGGTGGTAGGGTCCAAATGGGGCAGCAAATGAATGGTATAAAATGGAGAGCCATGATTTCCTAAAAGAGCTTTTTTTCTTTGTATTTTGCTATATAAATGAAAATGCCTCTTTCTTATGTTTCAAGTTCAGAACTTTTTTTTCAAGAGGGAGAAAAAAAGGCATACCTACTATTTAAACTATGATATTCAGTTGGAAGGACAACCCACAGAGTTTGTGCTGCAGGGCATCTTTCTTATACGAGTACTAGTGAGTTACTGTGAGGATCAAAATTGAAAAGGAAGAAGAAAATAGACTGGATTGCATCTATACAGTGATATCAGTGAAATACCACCCCCCCCCAGCCTCCCATCACCATCATCTCTGTGAAACAAAATTCCATCATTTTAACAATTCTTGAGAAATTATGCTCTATGATATGGAATACCACATGTTCTAGAAAAAGCAACATTTAGGGTCCCTATGCTAGGTGGCACAATCAATAGAGTGCCGGGCCTGGAGTCAGGAAGACTTGAGTTCAGATCTGGACTCAGACAACCACTGACCTTGGGTAAAGCTCTTTACCCTGTTTGCCTCAGTTTCTTCATCTGTAAAATGAACTGGAGAAGGAAATGGCAAAACCACTCCAGTATCTTTGTCAAGAAAGCCCCAAATGGGGTCATGGAGAGTTGGACTTGGCTAAAGTGATTGAACAACAAAATTTTATTTTGTATTTTCAATCCATAATACTATTTGATATTATCTTCTCAATTCTCTTGTAACAACAACAGCAAAGAGTGATGAAGAGATATGTAGTGTATGAGAAATATCCTCAAGCATATTTGTAAAGAGTAAGTATTTGAACAAATCGTGAAATATCACCAAATTAAATGACTGGAAAAGATATTGGGCCAACCATGTCATGAGATTGTAAGAGAGAGATATAGAGGGGCAACTGGGTGGCGCAGTGGATAGAGCGCCAGCCATGGAGTCAGGAGGACCTGAGTCCATATTGAGCCTCAGACACATAACACTCACTAGCTGTGTGACTCTGGGCAAGTCACTTAACCCCACTTGCCTCACATTTTTAAAAAATAGAGATATAGAGCCATAGGGTGCATTGATACCCAGTCATTTCCAGGAAGCTAGTTAAAAATGGCTCCTTGTGACATAAAAGGTTCGAGAGACATGATTTCTAGGTAATTAATCATTTTATTAATTATAGCTAGCAAATAATAAAAGGATTGATCGTCTGGTCATCTCTTGTGGACCAAAGACAGATCATGGCAGCCTATTGACGCTGATATGCCCTTGGAAGAGTGGGTGTTAGCTACAGGTAGGAATCAACTCTGATTGGTTAACAATTAATGAGAAGAGTAAATATTATAATGGGGTGAATCTAATGAGGGGGATGCAACTTCTTTATGTCACTTTTACTCCCAGACCACGCCTAGCCCAAAGCAATCTAGATCGAAGACCAATGCCCCTCTCCCTCAAGCCTGAGTAGAACAGAGTGGGCTTTGCCACTTGGGTGGTGTCTGAACAAGATTGAGGAGAACATTAAATCCAATGTCTTTATCAGTCCTACTCTTCTGGGGCCATTTTGACCTGGTAGAGAATGAGGAAATAGGAAAGGAAAAAATCCTGAATCTCTCTAATAGTAAATGGTTACAAGAGAAATAATCATTTCTCTCATTTCCCCTTTTGATTCTATTGAGGTACACAGTCTCTCATGAAATGACAAACACTTCATCAGGGGTTTCTAACTATGGTGTGGGGATCAAAATTGTCCAACTTATAAGAAGAGACACCGAGGCATAGCTCTGAGTCAGTGGCACTTATTAAAGGGTCCATGGGCAACTCTAAAGAAGTGAACCCCGCACCTTCCTTATGATATGAGATGCTCCCTTCTTCCAGTACCTTGTTTTTACAGGGTATGTTATCCAGATATGCAAAAGAGGCATGGCAAAATACAGAACCTTACTGGTTAATAAACCTTCCTCTTGAGAATTAAAAATGACATCAGCAGGGTGGGGGTCAGATTGGGTGAAGCATGGAGTATCTCCACTGACTAAGTGGTCCTAAGATGGTCACTTGCTCATGTTGGGCAAGAGAGGTCCAGAGATACATTAGTAAATTGGTGGACTTTCCAAAGCATCAAGGCATATTCTCCCACCCATGCTGGGTTTGACGTGGAATTTGAGTAAAACATGACGGAGATGTCTTTGTCAGCATTCTAGTGGTTGTGTAAGTGAGCTTCATAACTTGGTAAACGAGTAGTGAGCATTACCTTAAAGTTTGAGGCCTGCTATAATAACTTATCTATCCTTACGTAATTTATATAGTGTGTCAAACTGACTGGAATAGAGTCCAAACGAATTATTTCTCACAATGGAGCTTATGAGGGGAAACAATGTGAGTGGGAAAAGGGAAAGAGATGATTACATTGATATAATCAAAGGGGGCAGTCTCCTCTGGTCAGACCTTACAGATAAAATGCACGTAGGGAAAAAGCAAATGGTAAAAAAATAAAATAAAAGTGTCCATTTAAGCTCAGGAGTCTCATCTCATACAACTGGCTGGACACCATCTGATATAGCCCTCTGGTCTGGGGTGTGGTGTTAGAACAGTTTCCAGATGACTGGCTTTTCCAGTTCACGTCACTTGTAGAGATTCTCTTCTCTGCCAAAAAAATCTTTTACAAAATTGGTCTTAACACAGTTTTAAATTTGCTTTTCCAATAACCAGTTGATTAGTGAGTGTTAGTTCAAACCTTACTGTTAGAAAATCAAATTGGGAACCTTATAGACCAGAGAATTTACATTTTTAGGTTAGCCCATTGTTATACATATATGTATTGTTGGTATATCTAAGAAACTCAGATACAATCCAAAAATTAGAACCCAATTTTTATACTTGACATTGTTCATTTCCCCATTAGGAGGATGGAGTCAGGAGGACCTGAGTTCAACTCCGGCCTCAGATCAGTCACTTGACACTTACTAGCTTTGTGACCCTGGGCAAAAAGTTTCCGTGTTAACTACAATTGTAAATAAGTTATTTATAATAAAACATTTTCCATTTCTAGCCATTTTCAAATGAATAATCCCTAGTGAAAGTGGATTTCTCTTTAAGACATTTACAAGGTAGACCACAAGCCATTTTTTATTTCAGATAATTAGTTATTCTGCTATTCTTTTTTATTAACACAGAACTCAAAAAGAATATTTAGGATCCAAAAACGTTTTCCTTCAAATGGTGAAGTCTCACTAATCACAGTAGGACTGAACACAATTGTTATAAATACCATCAGATTATTGTAATAAATTGGCTGACAAATAAAATTTAGAAGGCCTTCTAAAAATCGCACAAAATTTTTTACTTAAACATTCCTTTCTAAAATTATTTCTCTTTCTCAGAAACAGTTTAAAATTTATCCTGATGTAAAAAGATAATCACTAGACTTTCATGAAGTAAATTAGTTGGAAACCTCCAAACTGATAATTATCTCTTATTTAACCCTTAAAGAAAAGTAAATCTTTAAAATTAGAATTTATCAAAACTAAGTTGGTGGAAAATGCCTTCAAGTATCATAAATAAATCCTAAATTGTTATAAATAAAATTAATTCCTAATCACCACGAATAAAGTTCTAAGTGCCACCCCCACCCCTTACCCATCGTCACCAAAAAGTATTTGCAGTGGGCAAGAGATTCAGTTTTCTAAGTGAAGCAATACCAAAAATATACCCATTTACTTTAGCTTTATAACAGTAACTCCTAATAATTTAACCAATAATCTTACAATTTTCATAAGTGATGGCCAAATAATTTTAGATGAAACTTTCTTTTAAATATAGGCAAACCTGAAAGTTTATGATTTCTTAAATTACAGTACTTCCTTCAGAATATGACACCATGTGGTCAGCAAGGCTGACAAAAATGACCTAACAGTTTTCAAACCCATTTTTATTTTTTTTCTTCTTTTAACAGTGTAATTCATGATCTAGCATCCATATTACAGGAGAAATTGCTTTCTAACAGCATCCAATACAATAGTTTACCAGATTTCACAATTTATAAAAATTTAGAAACATAGCAATACTATAAGCAACGTTATGTATTTGAAAGTTGAAACAAAATTCATTACCGGTCAGGTGGTCTTAGTTCAGTTGAACACATTTTCATGTTACCTCATACAGAAAACCATTCATCTTGTCACCATTGGCCGTGTCTACTGATCGTGTCTAAAAGCCCATATAGAGTGATCAAGCGTGAAGCAATCACATCTCATTAAAGGAAGAACAGAAAGAGTTCACAATACAGCGTTTGCCATCTGCCAGGCTCTGGGTTACGCACTCACAACCACCTGGGAGGTGGGGGCTACTTTATCCCCTTACAGAGTAGTAAACTGGTAAATAGACATGAGGTAGCTCATACATTTCTTAATGCCAAATAGCAAGTGTCTTTTATAGTAGGTTCTGATTCACCATAATTATCCTGTAGAGGAGAACACACTCAGATACTTTCTGATTTCCTTCAGGACAGATTTCAGACCAAATCAAATAAAATCTGGATGTGTGATGGCTGATGGTACCATTTAAATCTCCAACCCTAACCCAGTTAATTTCATTTATTATGAAGTCAGCCTCCTTGCTGGTTCTCTTACCTGCTCAATCATACTCCCTGCTCAGGTCTACTCCACATTTCTCCTGGATGAATGTTGCTTTCATCATGTTCCTTACCTTTTGAAAAAACTGTCGTGATGCCCTGTTAACTATCAAATCCAGATTCCCTTTTCCCACCTCTCAAGCTAATTTAATCTTGTGTTAAGTTGTATTTAATTGGTCCAGGGTGCAAGAAAGACAAAGAAACAAGAAGCTTCATTTTCCTAAACTCTCGTTGGTGTGGTTGATCCCAAATACTTTCTCTTATACAGAACCAATCCCTGGAGGACCAGATTGAAAGTGCTCAGACAGAATTAAAGAAACTGAAGACCGAGGAAACTTCACTGAAAAGACTAGTCATCGTCGAGAAAGAGAAGCTTGCCACAACCCAGCTGAAGATAAATAAGAAGCATGAGGATGTCAAGCAATATAAACGCTTAGTACTGGAGTATGAATTTGAACTAGTTTCACTGCATGGGGCAATCTGCAAACTGATCAGTGTTCTAAAAGTTGGGATCTTTTGGGGGAAAAAAATCGTTGCTGTCATAATTAGTCAAAAACGTAAATTGAAGTAACTGTAAAGTTCATAATACCCCCCCACCATTTAAAAAAAAAAGACAATTCCATTCGTTTTATGTAATTTTTTAAAAGACAGCTTTCTTTTTATGGTTTATTTCAATCCCATTATAATTAACTTTATGAGCTGTCCAAATTGTTTCTTATATTGGACAAGCTAGATCCTATTTTTGAAACCTTTTCCTAAGCAGCAACATTAATATTCTCAAATTTCTAGAAGGTTAAGTCAGTGTTGACATGTTATAGGGGGAAGTGCCTTGACTATCTGTCTTGGCCATAGTAATGAATACCCTGTGCTATCAGTTGTATTAGTGGTTCTCAAAGTATGTGCTTCTGCCTCCTCCGCCATATTATAGTATTTGTATTTACAATATGAAAAATGCTACACTTTTGTTCTGCTAAGAATTGATCATTTACTTGCTATTTTCATTTTAAAACTGGCATTTCATCAAACGAAATCTCTTCCTATTAATTCCAATGATGTGTATTTGGCACTGGCAAGTAGGAGCAGGTGATTTGTAATAGTTGAGAACCACTAATATTTTGAAGAAATACTTTTAGCGTAAGTATCAAGAAAAGATAACTTTAAGATGTCCTAAAGTCACCCTTCACGTGCTAACATACAAATGAAGACATAAAAGATTCCACCTGAACTTATGCAAACATAGTTGCTTTAGAAATTTTAAAAATCTTAGTATTTTGCCAACAAAAGGCTATTTACTGTCTTGAATTATCTAGTTTATCTCTTTTTTTTTTTTGGTTAAAAAAAAAGCCCTGTTGTAAAGGTCCATTGACCAGATTGAGAAATATTTTGGGATATAGTGATTTGAATAGTACTGGAGTTTGACTGTATGAGGTATGTCCTGAGTTTTCCAAGGAATCTTGGCCTTATCTGACAGAATTCGAAATTTAGTAACTTGGAAGTTCTATTTTAAGTACTTGCTTTTTAAGTGTTGAAACTCAATATGAAATGATTCCAACACTCTGCTTTGAACTTTTTAACCGTTTGTTTTTATATCTTGAGTACAGCTGTAAGTTTTGTCAAGCAAAGTTTTTTACTTGATAGGGATAAGGAGAAATGCTCACTTTAGAGTATCTTACATTTCTATTTAAAGTTTATCTTTTTCTGTTTGGACATTTGCTCAAAGAATAGCCATCAAATTTCCACTGTCTTGGTTTCTCCTGTAGGGAATGTAATAAACTTCAAGAGAAGAGAGGAGCTGTATGTGAACAAGTGACAGCTATTAATTGTGATGCCCAGAAAGTCAGACGTGAAATACAGCAGCTCAAAGATGTCACCGAAAGTGAGAAGCTAAAATTCCAGGTGAGGAAAGCTCTGACATTTAGATGCCCTGTAATTGCCAAGTAAAGGGAAGGACAGCTCAGGGAACCTTGGTGTGTTCTTGGCGGTGTTCTCTGCAAGTGTCCATTCATTGAATCATAAGCGCGACCAGCAGACAGGCTCTCTTCAAAACGCTTGGTTCTCACAGTTGCTTTTAACTGTTATTGAAACCATATTCGTTTCTTAGAAATTAAGGCTTGATTGAGGTACTGTCTTTTAAAAAGTACTCTGAGTAAGTGTGTGTTCTGAGAAGTGCTAGATGATGTCAGTGTTCCATGTGTGGTAGTGATGGGCAGTCAGTCCACAAGCATTGGTTAAGTGTCTGCAGCATGCTAGGAATTGGGCCAGGTGCCAGGGAGGATGACAAAAACCACAAGACTTGAATGCTTGCCTGCCCTCAGGGAGATTACATTCTTCCAGGGAAATGACATACAAGCTCACAGACACAGATATCTGGAATGGACAGAAGCTAAGGCAGCAGGAGCACGTAGGCATCCTGGGACTTGAGGTAAAGGGGGAATGCTGGGGCAGCCGAGGCAGTCCTCTGGAGAAGGCAGTGTGGATGTAAATACCTGCCCTTGGAGCTATAATGAAATCCACCAGCACCATGAATGTGCCTGGAAAAGCTGTGTTAATGGTGGGCAGTGAAAAGGACATGAGTGCTTATTGAACCCCTGCTGTGTGCCAGGCACCCTGCTAAGCTCTTTTTTCTCATTTGATCCTCACAACAACCCTATGGGGTAGGTACTATTGTAATCACTCTTGTGCTGTGGGAGAGCCTGAGGCAGACAGAACTTACTTACTTTGTCTGAGACTGAGTTTCAACTCAAACCTTCCTGCCGTGAGCACCACCTAGGGCCTCTTCTTCCACTTGCCGTCTTTGTGACTTCCCAGACCATAACTCATTTTCCTGGCTATCACTTCCCCACCAGCAGAACGTAAACTCCTTTGGGCCAAGAGCTAACTTGTTTTTATACTTGTATTTTCAACCCTTAGCACCAAGTTTGGCATTGTTAAGTGTTTAATAAATGCTTTTCATTGATTCGTTCACCTTAGGGGACAAGAAGAGAGGTGACATGTGATAAAGATGGAAAGCTAGGCTGGAGCAAAAGTTTGAATTTGTTAGATTGATGAGATTACCAAGCCTTCTAAATTGTCTTGGTATAGCATACAGGAATTCTTCATTTTAATAAGTAGCACGTTTTCATGGTAACATTTCTTTAATCTAGAAAGTAAACCCCTGAAAGCTTGATGATGCCAAGAAATTGTTTTGTAGTTTTTTCTTTTTGCCAGACCTGTGATGTCATTGGTCTAATGAGGAAACTCTAACAGTGCAGTCCACACTTCCTCTGCAATTTCATTTCCGTCACTCCAGGATGTTGTCTTATGAATCATGGGATATCATCATGATCTCTGAAAAGTGGTGCACTGGCTCACCAGGCAAAGAAAGGGCTCTTAGCAGTGGTGGGATATCAACATGAGGGAGTTGAGTCCTGGACTCAGAGTAGAAGACCACTGGCAAAATTCTGACCCTGCTTCCCATGTGCCCAAGGGCCAAGTCTTACCTTACCTGTTAGATTCCCTCTTTTGAAAATGAAAAGTTTGAGTGAGGTGACTTTGCATGTCTTTTCTAGGTCTAAATCATACTGTGTTAGGTATAGAGGTCAGTGACATAGAAGGAAGAAGCAGTATCCTTGAGGAAAGTTTCAAAGATAGCTAGTTTCTGTAGTGGTATCCCTCAAATGCTCCAAAACTTTGGGGATAGCCTTCTTTAGCTCTTCTGTGGAGGGAGGACTTATCAGAGCTTATAAACTGGAGCAGGGGGGTGAAGAAGTGAGGACACAGGTTAAGTGTTAGGATTAGTGTGGATAGGTTGCCATCTCCAGGAGTGGAAGGTGCTCATGTGGGGTTAAATCAGATTGATCAGAGTATGTGGTCTGATGAATACAGAATACTGTGGGATGGATGATCATAACCTAAACATGCTCACATTAACACTGTGAATTTCATTAGCAGCTACAACCACTGTTAGTGGTTGACCCAAATCCCTGAATACCTTTCTTGTGAACTCCTATCAGGCCATGTCTCTCTAATCTTAGGCAACTGATGTTTTGTATCTAAATGCAAAACTCTACATTTTTCTCACTCATCTTTGTTTTTTAGCACAACATTCCCACCTGTCGGTTTTTCTAGTCTTAGTTCTATCAGTTTTCCTTTCTGACTGTCATATGAAAATCTAGTAAGTTTGCTTCCTATGTCTTTTAACCTAAGTTATTCATAATAGTGTGCATTTATAAAGCACTCTCAATTTTACAGAGTCCTTTAAAACAATTACCTCGGTCGATCCTTATAGCAATCCTTTGAAGCAGGCACTTAGTGTTATTCCTGCTTCTACAGGTAAGGTAAGACAGAAGTCCATGATTTGCCAGGGTTATACAACTGGTTCTCTCTGAAGAACTTTGGAATCGATTGTGAGATATGGGAGACACTGGCACAGGATCACCCAGCCTGGTGTGCCCGCATCAAAGAAAGCTTCTGTGCTCTGTGAGTTCAAAGGAACATGAGATATGCACACGTAGAGCCATCTCCACTCCAAATGCTCATGTGGACTGTTTGTGCCAGACCCAGGGGAGAGCCTCTGAGCTCGCCTTGGTCTGACCAGCCACAGTCGCATACAGTGTACTGTGACTCTAGCACAGTGGTGTCATTTTGGTCCTCTTCAGGCATGAAGACAACCACCATAGTCAAGCTGAATAAGTTTGAGCATTGACCATGTCCCCCAGTCAGTGTCTCCTTCTGCCCTCTCAGGAGGTGGGTAGCCTGCTCCATCATCATGCTGGATTGATTGATGAAGCATCCTTTGTTAAAGTTGGAACCTCTCGAAAAATCTTTCCCAACTTTTCCTCTCTAATTCTATCCTTTTGCCAAAGCCCCTGCCAAACATTTCAGCTTTGGTATCTTGCCAACATGGGAAGCTCAACATTTACAAGATTGACCTTGTTATCCTGGCCCTGTCAGTGATAGGGTTTTCCTTGTCTTGCAAATGCAAAAGACTTGGAAATCATCTTTGATTCATTCCTGTCCTTCAGCCTTCACACCTAGTCGGTCACAAAAGCATGTCAGTATTTCTTTTACAAGTTTACAAGAATTTCTTATCATTCCCTGATTTCTCAAGCGAATGAAATGAACATTAAATACGTTGTATCAGGGAGAGGCTTCAGCTGTGTGCTGGAGATACGCCATTGTCCTTGCCCTCCTTGAGCTTATACTCTACTGAGTTATACGCATCTAAACAAGTAAGTATGATATGGGGTAGATTGAGAAGGCGGTGAACACTAACGACTATGTGGGTACTTAAGAGCGAGGATCTGGGAAAGCTTCCTGGAAGGGAAGGCACGAGAACTTAGCCTTGAGAGATGAGAAGCAGAGATGAAGTGGGCCGTGCTTGCTAGGGAAAGGAAAGGGAGGGGGTCATCAAGTTTGAAATCATCTTGGTTAACATAGAAGTTCATTCAGGGGAATATAGGGTTGGCAGAAACTTGATTGTGGAAGGCCTTTCACACTAGGCTGAGAAGTCTGAATTTCATTCTGTAGCCAAAGAGATTGGCTTAAAGGTTTTTCAGCAGGAGAGTGACATGGGCAGAGCTTTCCTTTAGGAATACCTTTTCTGTGTAGAAGATGGATTGGAAAGAGTAGAGCCTGAAATCAGAGACATGAGGCTGTTAAAGTTGTCCAGATGAGAGGGATGAACATCTGAACTGGGCAGATGGTTGTGGGAGTGGAAACAAAGATGTTCTGGAAGTGGACTTAGCAGGGCAGGGGAACTGATTGGATCTGGATGGGAGAAGGGATGGAAGATGAGAGAAGTAGAGATGATTGAGAGATCCCCTGTGGTGGTTAGGGAAACACAGGGATTTGAGGTGCAACCAGCGGACAGTAGGTTGTCCTGTTTCTCATAGAAGCAATGTCACAGTCTATGCAAGGACCTTTTCCTCCTGGCCTCAGAGGAGGAGCAGCCAGTGATGGCCAGACTTCCAGAGAGATCCAAGTTTCCATGAAGCAAGGACATGGACTGTGAAAAGAAGAGATTGAGATTGGGGAAGAGCTTAACAGCAACATGACGGAAAAAGAAAGGCCTGGGTGAACTGGAGTGGGATAAGGTCACCACTAGCAACTCTGAAATCCAATACTAGAGACTGTAAAGTCGTGCGTGTAGAGTAAAAGTGGCCTCACCAAACACCTAGCCCAAGCCCCTTGTTTGACAGATGAGGAGAGTGATACCCAATAATGGGAAGTGCCCTCCCAGGGTTATCCAGGCTGTAAGTGTCTTGTGGCAGATTGGAACCCAAGGCTGTGCCTCTAGAGCTTGGGCTCTTTGCCTTGGAGTGATAGAAGATTGCTGATTTGGTTTTTCCTTTCTAAACCCCAGGGAGTAATAAATGGAGGTGAGGAGGGGTCTTGCTCCGCAGAGACCAGACCAGAGCAATTCACCAAGAGACAAGGTTGTGATCTGGGTCAACAGAGCCTATACATACCGAGACCATTGATTGTATGAAATAATGAGGTAAATTGTAGTTTATTCAAAATAAAACTCATGGCCTTTCATTTTTCCTTCCAGGAAATCTTCTTCACCTTGAAAAGTGCTGTGGAGAAATACCATGAAGCCATGGAAAAGGCAGCAGAGGAGGGCAAAGCTAGAATTAGTGAAAAAGCTGCCGAGCTAAGGAGGGAGTTTATCATTTAGACTACACTGAATCGATTCATTTGATTTGCTCAGAACTTAAACAAGTATGTGAATAACCCAGTATAATCCAGTGAAGACCATCTGAGTGTTAGGATAAGTAGCCTGGGGCTCCCTGGATGGAAATTAAAGCATGCTTTGACACCTAAGGATCTTCTAAAATACTCCTTTTAAAGAAATCGTTTGTCAATAAAGTAATTCTCCTCAGTACTCATGTGTCTGGGCTCTAGTGGCTTGTCAGAAGTGAGGAGATCCAGAAAAGCATGGGGCTTTTGAGGGGTTTTTCTTTGCTTTGGGGGAGGAGTTGCTTTTTCAAACAATTTTGGAGAGTGGCTTTGCAGTTCAATGCTTTTCTTTTTTCTTTTCTTGGTGAGGCAATTGGGGCTAAGTGACTTGCCCATAGTCACACAGCTAGGAAATATCATGTATGTGTCTGCGGCCGGATTTGAGCTCAGCTCATCCTGACTCCAGGGCCAGTGCTCTATCCACTGCGCCACCTAGCTGCCCCTAGTTCAGTGCTTTTCTAACTGCATTTATATTGTGCTTTAAGGTTCTGGATCAGCCCTCTTCCATCCATGATGTCACTTGAGGTTAGTGCTGTCATCATCACTCTTTTACAGTTGAGAAAACGGCTGTTCAGAGAGGTTTTACTTTGCTCAGTCATCTAGCAGAAGGCCAGCTTCGAATCCATGTGCTCATACCCAACATTCTTCCTGCTGGGCCCCATGAAGGAGCCCCTATGTGCCTGATGGCCAGATGAGATGGGGTATCCCCAAAACTGACCAGCAGTTTAGTTTTTCTTTGTTGCCAAAGATACCAGGAGGGCTACTAGCTCTTCCCTCCATGCTTACGCCCAGTGTGCGTGAAACATGCTGGTCGTAACCAAGTTTAGTATCTGAAACTTTGACTCTGGGAAGAAGACTCATGGTCTTACCTATGAACTGCTTTGACATCTAGATGTTACAAGGTATGTGAAGCTGGAATTGTAAAATTTAGGATGTTTCTCACTCAGAATTGGTCTGAAAACTACTCTTTTGGCCTTGTGTATATTTGAAGTTTATTCATTCCAGACTTAAGTAGGATTTTGAGGAGGGAAATGTAGAACTTTAAAAATACTGCAGGGGCAGCTGAGTGGTGCAGTAGATAGAGCATCAGCCCTAAAGTCAGGAGGACCTGAGTTCAAATTTGGCCTCAGACCAGACACTTGACACTTAGTAGCTGTGTGACCCTGGGCAAGTCACTTAACCCTAATTGCCTAAAAAAGAAAATACTGCAATGAAGAAACAGAAAGCAGCTTCCAGTTATTTTTTTGGTGTCTAGTCAGCTGAATGCTGTGGGCAAAGCCAATATTTAATTTCATGTTCAACTGAAGTTTCAATTAGTTAATCTGTTCTATGCCAAAGCAAAGGAAGTGGAAATTTGTACCTAGCAGGATGGAGTTAATGCATCTGATTAGAGCTTAACAGGATGGTTCTATGCTTCCTATTTATCATAGCATCAAGGAAAGTTTTATGGTGAATTCCATTTTCAAATAAAATGCCCACCATAGATTCCAGTTAAGTTGTCTCTGTTCATCACTTTGATTGAAATACACTTCTTGAGGTGCAGAGCCAAGATGGCAGAGTAAAGGCAGGGACTCGCCCGAGTTCTCCCAAATTCCCAAATACAAACAAGTTTAATACCTTAAAACAAATTCTGTAGTCTGAACCAACAGGGTTGGGGTGAAAAAATTGTCCAGCCTAAGACAATTTAGAGGGTTAACAGGAAAGGTGTGTGCCTGGTGGGAATGAGTCCAGTGCAGACCAGCCACCAGGCCAGTTACAAGGAGATTGCAGGGAGCCTTTTGCAGGCACTAGGCGTTATGGGAGCACTAGTGTTGGTCAGAGTTGGATTAGAGGAACTTCCCACTTCCGGACTCTCACTCAGGTAAGCCTCTTGGGAGGGTGGGGGCTGCCGGGGAGAGAAGAGACCTCTGGTAGGCTGAATCTCTCTGCTCTACTTTGGGGTGGGGTGTGGCCCTGTAGTCCAACCCTAACCCTAAATTGGTGCTGAGCCAGGCGCCCCCTTCCCCCTCCATGGCTCCAGGGGCTTCTGCCCTCACTCTCCACTTCAGTTGTGAGAGGTCTCAGTTACTGAACCCCTTCATCACTTTAGAACTAGCCCCCTTCTTCCCTTGGCTCATAATATTTAATGACCTTGTCCCAAGGCTCATACTTGCCAAGTCCTTCAAGAACTTCATAGAAAAGGAGAATTTACAGGGTCCTTTGCACTGTTCTCAAGGAGTAAGTTACTATTTTTCATTTCAAAGTAAAATATACCTAATTAAATATGTAACAGTTTTTAAGCATTGTAACCATACTTTTACAGCTCAGTTCATAATTTTACAGCACCCAGATCAAAAGAGAAGCTAATTTTCTAAGGCACAATTTCCAGTTCTTGGCCACTACAAAAAGAACTGCTATAAATATTTTGGTACTTGTGAGTCCTTTTCCCTGTTTGGATCGGTTCACAACTCCACCAACAATTAGTGTTCCAATTTGCCCACATCTCCAACATTTATCGTTTTCCTGTTTTGTCCTGTTAGCCAATCTGAGAGGTTTGATGTGGTACCTCAGAGTTATTTTAACTTGCATTTCTCTAATCAGTAGTGATTTAGAGCATTCATATAACTATAGATAGCTTTAATTCCTTCATCTGAGTACTGCCGGCACAAACATAACAGAAACAGTGTTACAGATTTAAAACATGAAAACATGCCAGTCCAATGCCATCACTTCAGCTGAATGCATTTTGGAGTTGTCTCAGAAAAATCACTTCATCCACCTGCCCATTGACACTGATTGCATCCAGAGTAGAACCGAGCCATTCGGATCCAGTTCCGTTACATTCTGATTCTTACACCCAAACCTATCACCTTCATGCCGAATTTTGGGTCTATTTTGCACGAAGGTCTGACCTAAGGGTCAAAGATCTCGGTGATCCAATGGGAGAACACATTATCATTTAGACTGGAGTCTCCCTCCATCAGTCTGCAGTGACAGTGATTGATGGGCCATCTTCCCGCCCCTTTCAGTCAGTCTGGCCGCCTGCTCCGAGGGAGGCGTGGGGGAGGGGCAGCCCGCCGAGATCGGGGAGGTGGGGCTTGGAGGCCTGGGTGGGGTCTAGGGCGGAGGAGGGAGTCATGCCAGTGGCCAAGGTTTTCCACGTGATGGAGGGCGGGGCCTGAGGAGGGGCAGCCGGGTCCTGATTGGAGGAAAGGGCCCATCCTGGGGAAGGGGGCGTGTCTTGGAACTAGGAGGCCCCGCCCAGGAAGTCTGGGAGCTGACGTCACTGCCTCCCAGAAGCCAGCTCCGCGGGTGCGGGTCCCGGGAGGTGGGAGGCAGCTCCCCTCCCCACCCCCGGCTGAGCCCCTGCTGGCTGCTCGGGTCTCTGGCTCTCGTCCTCCTCGTCTGACCTCCTGGTGAGTGTCCGGCAGATTCTCCAGGAGCACGCTTCCCCCCCCTCCCCCGCCCCAGCTCATCTGCGGACCCTCTAGTGACTTCCCAAACGTCCGGGGTCCTCCTCCCCAGGTTTACTTTTGCACCACGCCTCCCCAACTTCTGGCTTTGCCCTCGGGGACCCAGAAGTCCCGCTTTCTGCCTGGCAGCAAGACCACGTGTCACGTGTCTCTGCCCCCCCCGGACCCACCCTAGGGACCCCACCCGGGATGCGTGTCCTGTCTCCCTGCCCCTCCCCCTCTTGCCTGCAGACCCGTTCTCCCTCCCCCTCCCATGAACCCACCCCAGGGACCCCACCCGGGATGCAGGAGCCAAAGTTCCCCCTTATTCGGGCCCCGACTCTTGGGCTGCTTCCCCATCAGGACCCAGGCATTGACTCCCTGTGTCGTTTCCCTTTAGGGATTCCAAGCCCAAGCTCTAGCGGGGCTCCCCGCTCCTAGTTAGACTCCAGGACACAGTCCTGGCTTTTTCTAGCTCAGCCTCCACCTGAAGCCTTTTTTGTCGCTTCAGGGTCCTTGATCTCCCTGCCACAAGCCTTCCAGACCCTCCCTCTGCCCCCATTTCTTTCACAGCCCTCAGGGCGGAATCCCAGGCTGGATTTTGTCTCTGGCTTCCCCTGGTCGTTCCCTGGAGGCTCTTCTGCACCCTCAGGCTTCCCTCCCTCCTAGATCAAGCAGTCAGTCTGTTGTCCAAGTCATGTGTCTGGGAGGCGGAGAGAGGGGTTGCAGGGAGGGCAGAGGTGGAGGTGGAGGGAGAGCTCTGACCCAGGAGCCATTGAGGCTCCCAGGCCCCTTCTGCCTCTTGGGGCTCTGTGAGAAGATGGGGAGGGGAGGGAGCACTAGAGAGGGAGGGAAGTAGTCTTCCTATTCAGACCATCGTCGTTTCCAAGCCTTACCTTTCCTGCTGCCTCCCTCCCTCGGTAGGGTGAAGTCTGACCTGAGGGCAGGGCCAGGGCCTTACCCTCTGAAATTCCTGTAGGCCAGCCTCCTGTCTAGGAAGAGAAGGGAAAGACATCTCCCTCCCCTGCTAAGTTTGCAGAGGATCAAGGCCTGGCCTGAGCTGGAGGGAATGGCCCCAGGGAGCTGCAGACCCCCACCTCGGGTGAGTGCTCTCCGTCCACATACTTGACCAACCTCAGCCATCAAGGCCATTTCCTTGTGATTGTTGGTGAAGCTGGCAATGCCTCCCTTGTGGATCATTTCTTTACAAAAATAGGCATGAAATGAAGACAGAAGTAACCACCCTGCCCTCCTCTCTGCTTCTGTGTTTCAGACTGATTCATTGGCACCGTCCCACCAATCTCTGCCCTCCCCTGTTTGTTTTTAAGGTCCCCTCCTTAACCTGACTGACCAGGATGTCCACTTCCCTCCATAGGCTCTGTTCCCTAGGGATCACGTCTCTTCTGTCTTTGAGCCTGCCTAGCACCCCCTCCTCTCTGTTTCTTGTGGCCAAGCTCTTCTTGTACCAACTGAAGGTCCAGGAAAACCCTTCACCCTGAGTCTTGTCTGGACAGGCCTGGAGTGGAACCCTGAAGGCCCCCCAGCTCTTGTCCTTTGTAGTGCAGTCATCAGAGCAGAAGTTGTCCCCCTGTGCTGCTCCCACAAGCCTTCCCTGGCCTCTCTGAACCCCTCTCCTTTACCAGTTCTTAGGTCTAGCCAGTAAGCATTTAGAAAGGCCCTACTCTGTGTTGGACACTGTTCAGAGCTTCCCTTGGATACAGAGGAAGGAAAAACCAGGGCCTGCCCTCAAGGACCTCCCAAGTCTAATGGGGGGGACATAACATATTGGCAACTGGATCCAAGCTCTCTATGGTATAGAAGGGAGATCCTCCGAGAGGGAAGCTCAAAACGTTTTGGGGACCAGGGAAATAATGTTTTCAGAAGGTGCAACTTCAGCGGAGCCTTGAAGGAAGCCTGGAGGCTGAGATGAGGGGGGAGAGCCTTCCAAACATGGCAGACGGGCATTGGAAAGGCACAGAGTCAGGTGATGGGGGGTACTGGTCAAGGATCAGCCAGGAGGCCAGTGTCCCTGGGCCAGAGAGGAAGAGGAGGAGGAGGAGAGTAACCTGTAACAAGACTGGAAAAGGTTTGGGGGCTGGTTATGTGCACCTACTGTGTGCCACCTTAGGCATTTGATGCTGTTGCAAGAATTGTCAGGGTCCTTGCTAGTGACTGTCTAAGTAAGGCAGCACAGGATGCAGCCAGGGCAGTGTACTGCTCCTTTTGTGTGTCCCCTACGTGAGGAGGGGATGGTTCCACAGATGTCTCATACAGCGTTTGGTTTAAAAGTTGCAAGGTCATGTTCACTTAGGGTACTGGCTTTCTGTGTTCTGCCTTTCCCTGGTTTAGGGTTTAGGTCTCTGTTGGTCTCGGTAGGATACTTTCTTATCTGGGGAATTGTTTGTGAAATGTGGGCACTACCCATTCTTCCCAAATCTGCTAGGATTCTCCTGTGAATCTGTCAGAACCAGGAGGGGTTTTTCCTTTGGTGCTTTTCCATCTAAAAAGTCTGTTTTCTTTTCAGAGATCAGGTCACTCAAGATCTCTTTCTGGTCTTCTGGTAGTTGGAGTATTTGGTGGTTTTGGAGGAATCCCTCCATTCCTTTCCTTTGTGTTCTTGGTTTTGTTGGCATAAAACTGCAGAATGGGCTCTGATTAGTGTTTTTATTTCTTCTGGTTTTACTGTGATTTTGGATTTCTCGTTTGCTGTTTTTCTGCTCTCTTTTTAATCAGATTAGCTAAGGTTTCTGTGATTTTTATTAGTCTTTTCAAAGAACCACTTTTTAGTTTTATTTGTCATTTCTCTGATTTTTTTGTTTCCAGTTTATCTATTTCCCTTCCCTTTGATTTATCTCTCTGTCATTTTACCGATCCCATTTAGTTTTGATGACTAAGGTCTGCAGGTGCTATTCCCCCTATGGCCTCACTTCTTTCCATCATTTCCCTTGATGTTGTAGCTCTTTGGTTTTTCCAAATGAATTTTGTGATGATTTTATTCAGCCCTGTGAAATATCCTCTTCATAATTTGATTAGAGAATTATTTCTTGCTCCAGTATTTTATGTCAGATTTTACTCAGTGATTTTATTCATGAACTATGTTCTGTATTCTGTGTGATAAACCAAAAAGCCTCTTCTTTGTCTCTGAGAGACAGTGCTCATGTGGAGAAAAGCTTTCACCCCTCTCCCCCCCCCCCGCAAAAAAAAACCTCGTTAGTTAAAGAAAACTCAATACTCTTATAACACATTATCTCAGCATTTCCTGCTGGATCTGGATTCTTGAAATGACCTTATCCCGTCTTTAACAATTAAGATGGTCTTGTCTTAACCCCTCCCTCTTCCCCCAGCCAGTAAAGTCTTCCACACGTGGGTCCTCATCAGCTACCTCAGGGTGCATCTAGGACCCATCAATTTACCAAAGCATTCCTTAGTGACAGAGGGGGTGGTCCTCATGGGGTGTGGAAGCTGTTCTTTCTTAGATGTAACCAGTGATGATCCCTCATCCCTGTGATGCTAACTGTCACACATGGGAGGGTTTCTGTTCTTTGTTCTATGCTTGAAAAAATGGTATCTTTGTTTTTATTTTTTTCATCTTCATTTCAGTAAAAATGCATCTTCAGTTAGGGGTCTTTTGGCCAGGGGCAGGGCCATTTGAGCCATCCTTTATTATCAGGCTGCCTGCCCCTGTTAATAAATGTTATCTTACTGGAAAAACTGCCTCAGTTTATCCTTTTGTAAAATTTTACTTGTGATATTAGTATAGCATTAAAAGTGTAAATTATTTTGGGTAGTATTGTTACTATATTGACACAACCTAGCCAGGAGCGTGGAATATTCTTCCAGCTATTTGGATTGTCCTTCATTTCTTTAAGGATTGCTTTGAAAAAAATAAAATTAAAAATTAAAAAAAAAAAAGGATTGCTTTGTAATTGAATCTGTGCAGCTCTTCTCAGGTGCTTTGGGAGGTGGATCCCTAAATATTCTATGCATAATTTACTTGTTTGGAATGGGATTTCCCTTTTGATTATTCCTTCTTGTATTTTATTATTGTGAGAGAAATAATTATGAATAACTGATGATTTGGGGAGATCCAGAGACACCCCCCCCTTTTTTTTCTCTAAAGTCCTAATTTTAAAAAGTTTAGTTTCTTGAAGGACTTTATTGATAATAAGATTGGAGTCACTTTCTGGTTCAGGATCCTGCCCAGGTCTTGTTCTGCTCTGGCTTGGATGGGGCATACAATCTTTGAATAGATTGCCCAAAGCTGGGGATAGTATGGGGGTAGATATAGGTAGCCCCTCTTTCTTTCTCTCATTATTTGTCAGCCAATCAGAATTGATTGCTACTCCTCTCCAAGAAGAACATGTAAGCCTGGATTGTCTTTGGTCTAAGAGAGCCAGCCAAATGACCATCCTTTTATTAATAAGCATATTGGCCTTATTAATAAAATGATTAAATTTCCTACCCAGAACTATGTCTCATTTTAATCGCCACCATTATATAGAAATCCTGTTGGCTTTGGAGAACTCGTTAATTGTCTCATTTGATATCTTTACTGATTTTCTGGGATTTTCCAAGTAAGGCATGATATCATCAGCAGATGGGGAGAGTTTGAGCTCTTCTTTACCTGGCTTTCTATCTTTAATTCCTTTCTTTTGTCAGATGGCTAATGCATGCATTTCCAGAAGAGTGGGGAGAGTAACCATTCTTGCTTTCCTGCCTCATTTCTTGGAGAAGGTTCTAATGTGTCCCCACTTCATGTGATACTTTTTAGTTTAGTTTAGATGGATGTTTTTTATGATAGTGAAAAAGTCCCCACTATGCCTCTCCTTGTTGTTGCATTATTAGCATAATAGAATGCTGTACTTTGTCAGAAGCTTGTTCTACATCTGTCTAGATGACTATGTGGTTTTGGATGATTTGGTTTAGAATATTATGTTCATTGTTTTCCTAATTTTGAGCTATCCTTGCATCCGTAGACTGACCATAGACTTATCCTCTCCAAGCTAAATATTAACATTCAGCAAAAGTGGTGGCCCCAGTGAAAATGACTGCCAGAATTAATGTCAACAGATTAGAGTGCTTCTCTGAGCAGAAACAGTTTGCCGCTAGCTTGGAGGGGAGGTTGAGCCAACACGCAGTTGGCAACAATGGAGCAGAAAGGGCAGCTTTCAGAGATTTAGGGTACAGCACTGCATTGGCTCATCTGGGTCAGAACACTCACAAACATTGAGACCCGTTTTACCAAAATGAGGGGGAAATTCAGAAGCTGCTAAACTCCACAGGGTTTACCAGCAGGAGAGTTCATCCGTCTCTAAGAAGGCAGCGTTTAATTCCATCAACAGTAAAGTACCAAGTGAAGCTTAGAGAGATGCAGGATTCTTGGCCCAGTAAGAAGGCAGTTGAAATTCAGTTTTACATTGATAGTAACAATGTGAAGCACTTTTATGATACCCTGAAGGCTATTTATGGGCCAAAGACCTATGGTGCATCTCACTCATTGATTAGTGAGAGATGGGCTGAACACTTCCATGGCGTTCTCAATAGACCATCATCAGTCAATGCCGAGGCCATTGACAGTTTACCTGTGGTTCAAGTCAGTCCCTCCACAGCTGAAGTACCAACTGAAAATGAGGTTTTGAATGCCATTAGGCTCCTTTTGTGTAGCAAAGCACCTGATGCTGATTCTATTCCAGCTGAGATTTACAAGGCAGGGGGTCCCCTGCTCATACAAAAGCTGATGGACACTTTCCAAGTTATATGGCAAGAGGAGTTTATCCCCCAGGAGTGCAAAGATGCCTCCACTGCCCATCTCTGTAAAGGTAAAGATTGTCCCGTGACCATCACAGGGGAGATCTCTCTCTTAGTCATTGTTGGCAAGATTCTTGCCAGAGTCCTCCTCCCATGCTTTTTAGCGTGATGTTTTCAGCCATGTCGTCAGATGCCTTCAATGAAGATGAGCACAGTATCAAGGTTAGCTACTATAATGATGCTAAATTCTTCAACTTGAAAAGGCTACAAGCCAAGGCCAAAGTGAAGGCAGTGTTGGTGCATGATTTTCTGTTTGCAGATGGTTGTGCACTCGATGCAGCCTCTGAAGCTGAGATGCAACAAAATATGGATAAATTCTCTGGTGCTTGTGCTAATTTTGGCCTAATATTTAACACCAAGAAAACACAGGTGCTCCATCAGCCAGCACCACACCATCCATACATAACCATCAGTTACAGCAAATGAAGAATTATTGAATGTTGTAGATAAGTTCACTTACCTTGGCAGTATATTTTCTAGGAATTAACACATTGATAATGAGGTTGACACATGCATTGCCAGAGCTAGCTCAGTGTTTGGGAGGCTCCAAAGGGAAGTATGGGGGGAAAGAGGTATTGGACTGACTACCAGACTGAAGGTCTGCAGAGCCATGTGCTGACCTCCTTGTTGTATGCCTGTGAACCCTGGGCAGTCTACTAGTGCCATGCCAGGAAACTTAATCGCTTCCATCTGAATTGTCTTAGAAAGACTCTGAAGATCACCTGGCAGATTAAGGTACCAGACTCTGAGGTCCTTTCTCAAACTAAACTGCCAAGCATTCAAACTCTACTGCAGAGAGCATGACCTTGATGGGCTGGCCATGTTGTTCAAATGCCAAAGGTATGCTTTCCTGAAGGACTATTTTAGGGAGAACTCACACAAGGCAAGCACTCACATGAAGGTCAGAAGAAGCGACACGAGGACATTCTCAAGGTCTCTCTGAAGAACTCTGGAATTGATTGTGAGACACTGGCACAGAACCACGAGCATGGCGTGCCCTCATCAGAGAACGTGCTGTGCTCTGTGAGCAAAGCAGAATTGGAATAGTTGAAAAGAAATGCAAGACAGGCAGATTTAGAGAATCCACCCCAAATGTTTGCATGGACTACTTGTGCCTGACCTGTGGTAGAGCCTTCTGAGCTCGTATTGGTCTGATTAGCCGCAGTCAGACGCACTGTGCCTTGACTCTCGCAGAGTGATGGCATTTGGGTCCTCTTTGAAAATGAAGGATAACAACCATCCATCTAACCAGCCAGCATTCCTGGTATGAATCCCACTTGATCATACTAAATGATTTCTTGGATAATTCATTGTAGTCGTTTTGATAGGATTTCATTTAAAATTTTTGAGGCAGTCTCATTAATGATACCGGCTTATAGTTTACTTTCTGTGTTTTGACTTGCCCTGGTTTTGGTATTCTATCTATATTTATCTCATTACCTCATCAAAGGATTCTGGTAAGATAGTTTCTTATTTTGGGGTATTATTTGTGAAGTATGGCTGCTAACTATTTTTTACAAAGTTTTAGAATTTTCCTCTCTTCTGATAGTTTGAGTATTTCATGTTTTTGGAGGAATTCCTTTAGTTCTTTTATGTTTTTAGTTTCATTGCATAAAGCTGCATAATATGTTCTGATTATCTTTTTTATTTCTTGTGGTTTTGCTGTGATTTTGCCTTTCTCATTTACTATTTTATTAATTTTCTGCTCTCTTTTATTCAGATTAGCTAAGGGTTTTATCAATTTTATTAGTCCTTTCAAAGAACCAGCTTTTAGTTTTATCTGTTGTGTCTGTGATTTTTTTGTTGCCAGTTTATCTATTCCCTTCTAATTTTTAATATCTGCTCTTTTGTGCTTCTTTTAAGTGCGTATTCAGTTCTTCTCTTTTTCTGTTTTCTTAATGTATGATTGTAAGGGTATATTTTCCCCTGAGGACTGCTTTAGCTGAATCCCAGAGATTTTGGTATGTTGGTATGTTGTCTCATCCTTAATTTTCTTTTCCAGGGTTACCGTTTCTGTGATTTGTTCTTTGACTCAGTCATTATTTAATATGTCATTGTTAATCTCCATTTAGATTTGTGTCTTTTGTTTGTGTTCCCTGAACCATATTTCCTTATGGAATGAAAGGATATATTGATTATTTCTGCCTTTTTACATTTGTTTGCAGTATTTCTATGCCCTAGTGGTTAATTTTTGTAGAAGTTCCATGTGGTGCAAAGAAATATGCATTTTCCTTTGTCATCCCATTTAGAAGATGTCATGAGTCTTTTTAACTCTAGTTTCTCTAGAAATTTGCTCCTCTCTTCTGCTTTCATCTCATTCCACATTCCTTCCCTGGGGGAGCCTTTTCCTCTCAGTTACTCTCATATATTCTCCTTCTTCCAGCCAGTCCTGTTCATTAGTTTTTGAATGTCATTCATTTGTCTGCCCTTTTCCAGCAAGGATTTCTCTCACTCTCTTCATTGTCTGTCTTCTCTTTCTGTTTTACCTAGACCCTCATTCTCTGATTTGTAGCCCTTGAAGTCATCTAGTCTGTCTTTTCTCTATATACTTCACACAGTCAAAGCCTCCAAAGTATCCATTCAAAGCTCTGCCCCCAGGTGCATTTTGCCACTGCCTTGTAGGGTTTGTAGAGGTTCCCATACTTATAAATCTGCTTTCTTTAACCCTTTAACTTTTTTTTTAATTTGTATCATTTCAGAAAATATATTTTATATATATAGAGAGAGAGACACATCTTAAATTTAATAGTTTATTGTAAATTTGGGAATTTTTTCCTCCATTGAAATTTTGATGACGAGTCACATAACTGTCTAGTACCGTATTGTAAACAAGTCATTACATGCACATATTCCTTCCAGTGCATGCTGGACTTCCTGACAGGGTGCTACAGGCTCACCTGCCAACACTTGCTTGCTAAGACCTGCCAGGAGACTTGACCATTGATCAGATATAACTTGCATTTTTATGTTTATTTGGAAAATAATGTAATCGCTGCAATTTTAACCTGTGTGAGTGGTTTTTCACAGTTTTCTTCTTTCCTTTCTCCACCTTTTCAGTATCTCCCCCCTTCCTCCTCACCTGTTCCCCTATCTATATACCTTTCTCTTTCTGAGACCATAGAGATCACCTTCTCCATCCTCATTGTCCTTGACTTATCTCCAGCCTTGGACACTGTTGATCACTCTCTTTTCTGTGACACTCGCTAGCTTTTTAGGACACCACTCTCTCCTGGTTTTCCTCCTTCCTGTCCACCTGACCTCTTTTTCTCTGTTTTGTTTACGGCTCATCATTCCCAGAGTGACCTCAAGCCCCCAATGTAACAACAGATAACTCTTCTTCACTTGGCTAAAAACCATCTCGTAGCACTCAGTGCAGTTCAGATACTTATGAATGTCTCTTTAGAACCCTCTTCATGTTTTCATCTAGGTAAGACTTTATTTCAGCCTCTCAGGAAGCAAACTAGTTCTTTAACTTTGTTCTCTTTTAAGGGATCATAAAACCATAAAATCACAAAATCATAAAACTCTTTCCCCCTGCCCCTGCACCCTGAATGCTCACAAACTCGTCATAGAATTTTCTTTGGAACATATCACTTATATCAGTTCTGATAAAGAAGAAATTTCATATCACTCTTTCTTCTCTACAGATCCACCTGCCTCGGAGACAGAGCACACACTTTCTCCCTGATTCCATAGGAAGACACCTTCCATAATAAGTTGTTTCTCAACTTTATTCCAACTGATTATATGAAATACATTTCTCAAAATTCAGTTGGACTCTTAATGACTGGTTTCAAGAGCTGACTGACACTCAAAGGGTCTGACCTTTGGGCAAATCCCTTTTCTGGGCTTCATTTTCTTTCTTTCCTGCTTTTTTTTTTTGTCCTTCATTCTCTCTTTTTTTATTAATTTATTTTGATTTATCAGCAATCACTTAAATAGGCTTTTGAGTTTTAAATTTTTCTCCCTCTCCCTCCCCCCCCAAGACGGCTCACAATCTGATATAGGCTGTACATATACATTCCTATTAAATATTTTCACATTAGTGATGTTGTAAGGAAGAATTAGAACCAATAGGAGGAACCATCAGAAAGAGGAAACAAAACAGAAGAAGAAAAAAATAGCAAATAGTATACTTTGATCTGCATTTAAACTCCATAGTTCTTTCTCTGGATGTGAATAGCATTTTCCATCATGAGGCCTCTGGAGATGTCTTAGATCCTTGCGTTGCTGTAAAGGGCTAAATTTATCAATGTTAGTCATTGCACAAGGTGGCAATTATTGTGTACAACATTCTCCTTGTTCTGCTCGCTTCACTCAGCATCAGACCATACAAGTCTTTCCAGGTTTTTCTGGAGTCTGCCTGCTCATCATTTCTTATAGCACAATAGTATTCCATTACATTCATATACCACAACTTGTTCAGCCATTCCCCAATTGATGGGCATCCCCTCAGTTTCCAATTCTTTGCCACCACAGAAAGAGCTGCTATACATATTTTTGTACATGTGGGTCCTTTTCCCGTTTGTATGATCTCTCTGGGAAATAGCCCTAGAAGTGCTATTGCTGGGTCAAAGGGTATGCACATTTTTATAACCCTTTGAGCGTAGTTCCAAATTGCTCTCCAAAATGGTTGGATCATTTCACAGCTCCACCAACAGTGCATTAGTGTTCCAATTTTCCCACATCTTCTCTAACATTTATCATTTTCCTGTTTTGTCATGTTGGCCAATTTGGTAGGTGTGATGTGGTACCTCAGAGTTGTTTTGATTTGCGCTTCATTTTCTTCCTGTAAATTGATGAGGGACAGACTATTTAATTCTGACATGTCTTTCAGCTCCACATCCTATGACTTTTGATGATTTTAGGGGTTGGTGACATTCAAGGATGTGGCTGTGGACTTCACACAGGAGGAGTGGGGCCTCTTGGACCACAACCAAAAGGAGTTGTACAAGGAGGTCATGCTGGAAAATGCCCGGAACCTGCTCTCCCTGGGTAAGGACACTTCCTCTGGTAACTCTGAGTCTGCAATTAAAGAGAACATCTTCATTCCTTAGTGTGTGGGGTTTGGAGCACTTATCAGTTATTGGAGAGAGAAGAGTGTTGGTCTCCTGTGTCCAAGAGACAGGGTCCTCCTGCTGCCTGATTGTCCTACAGAAAGTCTTTGCATCGTGTGATACGAACCTGAGGGTTTCCTTTGTTGCTCCCGAAGCTGTCTCTTACCAGTTCTAGGTAGCTTCAGGTCAGAGATCCAGTCAGTGTGGAAGCATCTCAGATGTGGCACTAATCTCAGATGGGTGTGGATTTTGCTGCCAAATCTCTGAGAACTGCTAAGGCAGCTTGTCCGTGCGACCCCCTTCTCCCAGGGATGGATCTAGTATTTAGAGTGTTCTTCTTTCTCGCAAGCATCAGTTTGTAGGTTAAAGCTCCTGGTTGTGGCCAGTGTAGCAGATTTGTCCTTCTTGTCTTCCTTCATATTGCCCTAAAATTCTAGCATGGATGTTGGGAAAGGAAGCGAAGGGAAAAAGCATTTATATTCTCCTGCTGTTTGCCAGGGGCTGAGCCATGTGCCGGGTAAAGAAATGTAGAATATTATGGCACTTTATTTTCACCATAACCTTCCAAGTTAGATGATAGATATTATTATCCCCATTTGAGAGTTGAGGAAACTGACGCAGACAAAGGTTAAATGAGTTGTCCAGGGGCACATAGCTGGTAACTGTCTGAAGCTGGATTTAACATCAGGCATTCCTGACTCCAGGCCCAAGTCTCTCTCCACTGTACCATTAGCTTGCCTCTGCTTTCCAGGTAATGGAACCTATGCAGTGGGTTCATCCTTCAATGAGGAAGCTGCACCAAGACCAGATTCTGATTCCACCCTGGCTCCATGATCTTCTCCCCAGCTAACCACCCTGTCTTCTTGCTTACATGCCCCTGTCACTGGCAGGAATAGCAGACTGGCAGAGAATCAGTTTGGACCAACTAGGGTTTCTTGAGTTTACCAGCAGGAGACTCTCCCCTGAAGAGGCAAATACTTTCTGTAGGTTTCAGGGAGCGAGGAGCCAGGCAGGGGGCAGGGCAAAGGATGATTCATCAATTTCCCTGTATCTCTGGCACCATTACCCCTTTTACCCAGTTTGGGGGTTAGGAGTTCCTGCCAGAATGGAACATGGCAGAATTGGAGAGCAGGGGGTGGAGGGTCTGGCTGTTTCTCAGAATAGGTTGTACAGTAGGATAGTGTAGCACATCCTGTTTTGGGTCACTTGCGTTACAAACACTAATGTGTGACCACACTGGAGTGATTTTCAAAGTGGAGCAGCTCTGTGTCCACACTCCTCTCCAAGTTTCTCTCCACAATCATCCCCAACTGATTCCCCATGCCCAGGGCTTCCAGTTCCCAGAGAAGACGTGATCTCCTATTTTGAGCAAAGGGAAGCACCATGGATGCTGGAGCAAGAAGGCCTGAGGAGCCGCTGTCTGGGTGAGTGAGGTGAAAGCAGGGGTATGAGAGTGTTGTGGTGAAGCACATGCTAGATCTGGGGGCAGGAAGACCTGACTTGGAATTCTTTTTCACATGTTTTTTAGCAGTGGCTTCCTGGGCCACTCACTGAACTGTGGAGCCTCAGTTTCCCCATCTGTAAAATGAGGGAGTTGGACCCCATGGACTTTTAGCTCCCTTCCAGTGATCAATTCATGCTCCTCTAAGAGGTCATTGTTTGGAATTTGGGGGCATGGAACTCTCCTGAAAGTGCAAGAGGGGGTTGGGCTACACCCTCTGACCTCTTCCTTAGACCTTCAAGTCAACAAACATTTAAGCACCTGCCACATGCCAGGCCGTGTGCTGAGCACTGGCGTCATAAAGAGACACAGAGGATGTCCCTGGCTCTCCTGGAGCTCACAGTCTGGTGGGCAGACATCACTCCAACAGCTCTCTAGAGACCACTGTAGGCAGGATAAATTGGAGCTGGTCAAGAGAGGGAAGGCCCTAAAGTGAAAGAAGCCTGGGAAAGGCTTATTGTGGAAGGTGGGCTCCAGCTGGGGCTCAGGGAAGCCCGGGTGAGCATTCTAGGCAACAGGTACAGCGAGGAAAACCCATGGAGTTGTTAGGTGAAGTGTCCTGTTCCCGGAAAAGAAAGGAGGCCCATAGCACTGGATTATATGGGGGGAGATGGGGTGAAAGAAGACTGGAAGAGTAGAAGAGGGGGAGGTGATGAAATGTGCTAGCAGCCCGAAGGAGGATTTCCTCTTGCATCCTTTTGCTGGGGAGCCAAAGAAGGTTGATGAGTAGGTGGTGACATGGTCAGGTTAAGACCTTGAGCAATATGAACTTGGTAATGGGGTGAAGGACTGACTGGACTGGGGGAAATGAGGCAGCAGGATTGGTTCTGGTCAGATTCCATTAGGGTTAGAACCTGACAAAGGTAACTCTTTAGAGGTGATTGGCTGCAAGAAAGAGACAGAAACATGACTGAGGCCCAAAGATGTATTTGGCAACTAGGAGAGAGACCAGAATGCAGGGACTGAGGTAGAGGCTAGGGCTGGTGTCAGCCTTGGACTCAGCCAGTCAGCAGACGCTGATGAAGCACCGTTTTAGTCCCTGTGCTAAGCCTTGAGGGTACAAAGAATGGCAAAAGACAGTCCTGGCTGTCAAGGACCTCACAGTCTAGTATATAAAAATGGGAAGAATAGAGGATGACCCTCACCCATAGCAGATCCAGGAAGAGAGTGTTTTGGAATGGCAGTACATTTAGTTGAACAGGCAAATAAGGGAATGCAAAGAATGAGGATAATAATGGTTTAAGAAGGAGAACAAAAGTGGGGAGGAAATAGTCGAAATCATAATGATAATGATAGAAATAATAGATGTGCCACACACTTGATTAATATGATCTCATTTGATCCTCATAAGAACCCTAGAAGTTAGATGCTGTTATTATGCCTGTGAGGCTAACTGAGGTCCTGTGACTTGCCCAGGGTCATAGAACCAGTACATTTCTGAGGTGGGATTTGAACACAGCTCTTTCTGACTAGAGAACCATTATTCTCTCTACTGCACCACAGCTGTATTCTGATTTTTAAACAGAATACCATGAAAATGTTCACATACATATGAGGTGGAAAATGGGAGGAGAATTAGACAAGCTGTCTTGCTGAGGGATGGAAATTTGTTTTTTGTTTTTAGTTCCCTAACTAGTCAATAAAATGAATTTTTAGTTACTACATAAAAAAATTTATTTTTCTATTAGCTCGTGACACGTAGTGTAATTATTAAATGATAAATGGACTTGACAGTCAATTGCATGTATTGCTTTGTTTATTTTTTTAAACAATGTTTATATATAAAACCACCTTTGTAAGAATAGAATTTCTTTGACATAACTTTCTTTTTCTTAATCATTGGCAAAATGGGTACACTGTCACTGAAAGTCTACTGAATGACTAATCTGTGTTGCCAACCAATTCCTTCAGAAAGCTACAAGCTAGGAGAATAGTAACATAAGTGAAAGAGAAGTTCAAACCAGAAAACAGCCTTAGCACTGCAATGAGTAGCAATTTGATATCTGTTTTTATAGAACGGTCATGGGGGACCTTGATGGTTTGGCCTCTGCTGCCAAACTGCAGACCTATGTAACATCTTGGTCTGGCAGTTACAGCTTTGCTGAGATGCAGGTACAAGGTAACCCAGGAATGAGAGGACTAGTGTGGTACAGTGACAGCCAGCCAGTGAGGCTCTGTGCATGGCTCTGACCATTTGCACATGAATGTCCAACCTTCCTGGAAGTTTGGAAACAATTTGATGTCAAATAGAGAAACTGAAAGAATATGTTGCACTCAGCCAGAAGCAGTCAGAATTTGATGAAATCACAGCATGATCCCCAAAAGCATTACATGCTTGATCATGATGATTTAGAATCACTGCAGAAAAAACTTTGCATGGGTGAAACACGCACAAGCTTGTCCTGGATGGAAAACATCTTTGTTTACAAAGAGCTAGGAAATGCCACAAAAGGATTTTATTTATTTTTTTGGTGAGAGCAGGGCCATTTAAAGATAAATTGTTGAAAAGAAATAAGTAATGACTGTCCCAGAAAAGTAATAGGCCAAAATGAAATCTCTTATGCCTTGGGTAAGTAGGAAAAAACAGTGCTGGCATTTATCAGATGATCTCAGATACTGCAACAGGAAAAATAAGATTGAAAGCGATCAACTAGGAAATTACCTTATGCTTACAGATATGATAGGTCATGAAATAATATGAATATTTAGTGCATGTGCACCAAATGGCATAATAAATATGAAGAAAGGATTGAAAGTACAGACAAGGAAAGCAAAAGTGAGAAGGAAAGATTAAAAGTGGAGACAATTTGTCTAGTACTGTGGACAGAATGTGGCCAATCGAGGGTTTGAGTTCTGGTCTTAGCTGCTGGGATTTGGGTTAAATCATCAGGCATTCTGAACCCGTGGCCTGAGTTGTGAATGTTATGAGAATGCTGGTCCTGCTTGTGTGTGAAGCTCTTTGTAAATTAAATTATCCTTTGGATTGTGAGCTAATGGCATTTTCAGATGATTGATTCTGCCCATTTATGTTTGAGAACTTTTCTCTTTACCTGGGGAAATAGAATGTTTATATTTACCCATGGAGGGAAGGGGATATAATTAGGTATGTGTGTATATGTGTCTGTATATGCATGTTTTATTGTTGGCTTCTTTCAGAAGGAGAGATCAGACTTGAAATGAAAGAGACTACTGAAGAACTAAGCCTTTCTGTGGAAGAAACTCATAAGCAAAGATTCATGAGTCATGGTCCTTGTGACTTCACTAGGATAGAAGCTGTACATCAGAGCATCCACACTGGGGAGAAGTCTTATGAATGTAATCAGTGCAGAAGAACATTTACAAAGAGCTCCCATCTTGTTCGACATCAGAGAATCCACACTGGAGAGAAACCTTATGGATGTAATCAATGCGGCAAAACTTTCCTAAAGAAAAACAAATTTGCTGAACACCAGAGAATTCACACCGGAGAGAAACCTTATGAATGTAATCATTGTGGAAAGACATTCACAAAGAGCTCCCATCTAGTTCGACATCAGAGAATCCACACTGGAGAGAAACCTTATGAATGTAACCAGTGTGGAAAGACATTCACACAGAGTTCCAATCTTGCTTTACATGAGAGAATCCACACTGGAGAGAAACCTTATCAATGTAATCAATGTGAAAAGGCTTTCAGGTCTAGCTCCAATCTTGCTCTGCATCAGAGGATCCACACTGGAGAGAAACCTTATGAATGTAGTCAATGTGGGAAAGCTTTCAGGTCTAGCTCTAGTCTTGCTCAACATCAGAGAATCCACACTGGAGAGAAACCTTATGAATGTAATCAATGTGGGAAAACTTTCCTAAAGAGAAACAAACTTGCTGAACATCAGCGAATCCACACTGAAGGGAAACCTTATGAATGTAATCAATGTGGGAAGACTTTCAGATGGAGGAAGAGCATTGCTGAACATCAGAAAATCCACACTGGAGAGAAACTTTATGAATGTAATCAGTGTGGAAAAACTTTCATATGTAGGAAGAGTGTTACTGTACATCAGAGGATCCACACTGGAGAGAAACCATATGAGTGTAAGCAGTGTGGAAAAGCATTCACACTGCGCTCCAGTCTTGCTGATCACCAGACAATTCACACTGGAGAGAAACCTTATGAATGTAATCAGTGTTTAAAAACTTTCTTAAAGAAAAACAAACTTACTGAACATCAGCGAATCCACACTGGAGAGAAACCTTATGAATGTAATCAGTGTGGAAAAACTTTCAGATGTAGGAGGAGTATTGCTGTACATCAGAGAATCCACACTGGAGAGAAACCTTATGAATGTAGTCAGTGTGGAAAGTTTTTTACACAGAAGATCAACCTTACTGTACATAAGCGAATCCACACTGTAGAGAAACCTTATGAATGTGTTCAATGTGGAAAAACTTTCCTAAAGAAAAACAGACTTGCTGAACATCGGAGAATCCACACTGGAGAGAAACCTTATGAGTGTAGTCAGTGTAGAAAGACATTCACAAAGCGCTACCATCTTGTTAGACATCAGCGAATCCACACTGGAGAGAAACCTTATAAATGTAGTCAGTGTGGAAAGAGATTCACAGAGAGTTCCATGCTTACTGGACATCAGAGAATCCATACTGGAGAGAAATCTTATAAATGTAATCAATGTGGAAAAGATTTCAGGTATAGCTCCAGTCTTGCTCAACATCAGAGAATCCACACTGGAGAAAAACCTTACGCATGTAATCAGTGTGGAAAGACTTTCAGATGTAGGAAGAGTATTGCTGAACATCAGAGAATCCACACTGGAGAGAAACCTTATGAATGTAATCAATGTGGAAAGCTTTTCATATTCAACTCCAATCTTGCTCAACATCAGAGAATCCATACTGGAGAGAAACTCTATGAATGTTTTCAGTGTGGAAGGACATTCACACAGAGCTCCCATCTTATTCGACATGAGAAAATACACACTGTAGAGAAACCTTATGAATGTAGTCAATGTGGAAAAACTTTCAGATGTAGGAGGAGTATTGCTCTGCATCAGAGGATTCACACTGGAGAGAAACCTTATGAATGTAATCAATGTGGGAAAATTTTCCACCAGAAGACCAGTCTTACTATACATAAACGAATCCACACTGTAGAGAAACCCTATAGATGTATTCAGTGTGGAAAAACTTTCCTAAAGGAAAACAAACTTGATGAACATCAGAAAATCCATACCGGAGAGAAACCTCATGAATGTAGTCAATGTGGAAAGGCTTTTACACAGAGCTCCCATCTTGTTCGACATCAGAGAATCCACACTGGAGAGAAACCTTATGAGTGTAATCAATGTGGGAAAGCCTTCAGGCAAAAGTCAGTCCTCCTTTCCCATCAGAGAATTCATACTAGGTAAAAATCTCACTACTAACATGAATGAGGAAAGGCATTCAAATGGAGTACAGAGCTTAGCAGAAAATTCTTTCTGGGTACAAACTGTATGTTGGAAGACCTTCAGCCAGAGATCATCTTTTACTTTATATCATAGGATTTATCCTGGAAAGAAGCCTCATGAAGCTGTTCAGTGGAGCCATGCCTTTCTCTGGAAGGTAGAGGTCACCGGGGAAGGGTTACATGTTGTTTCTGCATGTAACAGAATGGTGAAATAAGTGCAAGTAATTCATGGCAATTCATCAGCCTGCATGCAGAACAGCACAAGGAGTCACTAGAACTGTTCCTGAACCACAGGATTGTGTGAAAGGAGCCTCTGATTGTTCTCAAAATAGAATAAGGGAAAACACTTGTGTCAGTACTGTTTCACCTGGGGAGCAGCGTTTGGTGAAGGGGAGAAATCGGAGGTGTTGGGTCAAGAGTTATGAAAACTGGGGCAATTTAGGGAAATGTATTAGTGAGGTTGTACTGAGCCAGTCTCTAACCTGAGAATGACAAAACAACAGGCCAGAGACAAAGTGCCAGGTAGTTTCATTATGAGGAACAGATTTGCAAATCAGGAATTCTCGTCAGAATTCCACCTTGGGGAAGTAAAGACAGAGGTTTTACACATAAATCACAATGGGAAGGGAGGGGGGAAGGTGGATTACAAACAGTCATTCAGTGGTTTCCCATGAGAAACCCACAAATTCCACAATACAACAATGCTGGAGTCAAGATCGGAACCACCTCCCCTACGGCACAGAACCAGAGCTCTGGGATAGGAGCAGGTTTGACAGTCCTTGATTTGCTTCACTTAGGTACACAGGCAGTGATTGTGAGCCTTGTCAAAATTTGACTCATCATTTCAAGCTGCCTTGTAAGCTTCTGACTCACAAGGCAAAAGAGGCAGTTGTGAAAGATCTAATCTGTTACTATATTCGTTACACATATCATCAATTAATGTGAAAATTATAATTCCCTCCACGTTTCCTCCTTCCAGCCGTAAAGGTCTGAATGACCCTTGAAGGCCAATAAGGAACGTTCATTTGAATCACGATTTTAATTTTATGTAAGAATAAGTGAGTTACAAGTCTAATGCCAAGGTGGACAGCAAGGCAAATGAAGAAAATAAAATTAGACCAGGGAGGGCAGAACGGGGATGCTGCATAGGTTTTCAGGCCACCAGGGGAGCTGATCAAAGGAAGGTGAGGGGGAGACATTCTTCATGCTCCTGTTCTGTAAATGTGCTCGCTTGTTTGGGGTGCTAAGGTCTTTCTCTGCCTAAAAGGCTGGTCAACATTTTTCCCCAAGGAAGGGAGGGCCCCTCCCCTTGAGTGTTAGGGCATCGGCAAGGGAGTCAGCATGTATCTGGAGGCTGGTGATGCTCCAGGCCCATGGCTGATTCTGCCAAGAGGTGCCTGACTTATGGGCACAGTGTGCCAAAGGTGGCTGTGGTTCCTCAGGGATCCAGCCGATGCCAGCAGCCGCAGTGGCAGGAAAGCAAGCCCGCACTGCTGATGGAGAGACAGCTTTCACTGGAGAGTGCTTCAGCAGAGTGGTTCCCTGAGAATTGGGACAGACTGGGCATAGTGTAGACCAAATCACAGAGGCCTTCCCAGAAGGGAGGGTGTCAGTTCAGTGGCAAAGATATGTGTATCAGAGGGTGCCTCCTGGCAGAGATCATGGTTATGGAACTGCCTTTGTTGTTGAAGGTAAGGGTCAGAGGTCTGATGCCTGATTTGGTAGGTGGGTCCCGAAACGCTGCTTGCTACAGGGGGCTTTTGCAGTGTTATAAGATGCCCCATTCCTGTTCAGGGAAATCTGTGGTCACAGGAGCTGGCTAGAGGAATCAAGTGACATGTTTAGGAAAGCAAAGCGGCACATGTGGAGTTCAGAATGAAGGTGAGATTACATTGCATGGGATTTAAATGATCAAAAGGTGAGGGCCCATGTTACCGCTTATGCCCTGGATGCAGAGTGGAGCCTACGTCTCCAGAGAGACCCCTGTAGGTAAGGGTATGGTATGCTAAGGGCCCTAAAATCTTCCATTAAATACATTAATTCTCTGTTAATGTGTTTTTGGTTTTTTGCCAGAGCATGTCTCATCACTGGGGTCATGAGCCATGAGGCAGCTAGGGCTAGAGTTTCCGAGGCATGGGACCTTGAATGACATGCCCAACAGTCAAGAAGCATTGTGTTGGGCTCCTGAGTGGGTGGTTCAGCAGGGGTGAGGCATATGAGCCTGTTGACCAAAGTGAAGGGATCAGGAATAGGACAGACATCTTGGAAAATGAGAGGCCAGAGGCTGCTGTAATAGCACAATCAAAAAGGTTTAGTTCATAGAGGGAGTAACTGCAGGCCAAGTCTGGTTTGTTGGGTCATTAGTCTATATCAGATGTCATCTTCTCATCCTGGGGACTTGGGAAGAGCTGTCCATCTCAGAAGGCGGATGCTTCTGACCCCACTCAATTCTCAGGTGCAAATCACCCCAATCCAGATGGGCAGGGCTGCTCTTTTGGATGTAACGGGTGGATCCACTACCCAGAATTTGGCTGCAGTTGGGGTGGTGAGCAGGCCTTCACAGGGACCTTTCCACAGTGGCTCCAAGGAGTGTTTTTGGAGAGGACATTTCCGGTAGACCCAGTCACTGGGTTGGATTGGGGGCTGAGTCTCAGTTGGAATTTCTAAAGAATGGGACCGAGACAAGTTGGTACATCTCTGATGTTTTCTGGCCCCACCCAATACGGTATTGCAGGAGGGAGCTTCTGGCTGCTGTGCTTCCACCTGCAGATACAGTGGCATTGGGCATCCTGTTAACTATCTTATAGGGGCTGAGCTTATGGGGAACCAAATGGTCTGGACCAGGATGGGGAACCTGTGGCCCTCTAGGTTCTCAAGTGTGGCCCTTTAACTGGTTCCAAATTTCATACAACAAATCCCCTTAATAAAAGGATTTGTTGCGTAGAACTTGGATTCCATCAAAAGGCCACACCCAAGGACCTAGAAGGCCACAGGTTCCCCATCCTAGGTCTAGACCCTAAGGCTTAGCAGGGCTAAAGGAAGGGCTTTGGGCTGGGGGAATTTAGCAAGGCAGGTTTTAAGTATCCCATTAACTCTCATCCATTCCTGATGACTGGGGGGGGGGGCTAAGCACCATGGATTTTCTTGGGAACCCCCCATAAATGGCATGATTTTTCTTGAGGATTTCTGTTACCCCAGAGGCCATGGCAGTGCAACAGGGGAACACTTCCACCCACCAGGAGAACATGCAGACCGTAACCCAAACATTTGTATCCAAGGGCAGTTAGCAATTGATTGAAGTCAGTGTGCCAGATTTCAAAGGGTGCATCTGGGAGAGGAAAGTGCCCACGAGCAGCCTTCAGAGGCTGGATGCATTGTGCCTAGGGCAGGTAGGACACAGTGTCATAAGCAGTGGCCGTGGCCTGTTAAAACTCAGGACCCATAGTCCTAGCAAGTTCTCATCCCTGCTTTTTGATAAGCATTCTTTTCTAGGCCATGGCTCTCTCTTCTCTTGTAGGGCTGGGGGTCTTAGGCAGGCCTTCAGAGTGAGATGATCTACTAAGGACATGCTTATGGGGCAAAGTGAAAGTTCCACAGGGATGTGAACTAGAGGATCCATTCCCTCAGGAGTCTGAGGACTTAAGGAGTTTTCGCTGCTTGGTCAACCACCCACAGGCCTGAGTGCTGTTTTCTTCGTTGTGCCCTGGAATTTTCATTACTGCACCGGCTTGGGGAACCAGTAAACAGTCTAATAGATGGGAAAGCTGTTTCTGATTTTTAATGAGCTGTTCTGAGGAGGTGAGGAAGCCCCAGTGTTTCCGTAGCAGCCGAAAGTCTCATCCCCAATCTCCATCTCGGGTGGATGGGTGGCAGGATTGAATGTGCTTACACCAACTACATTCCCTCCTTTCTCAGAGGCAAAGAAATTAAATGGAAGAGCTAACTGAACCACAGCAGGTGGGGCACTGATAACTGACCCAACATCAGTAACATCTTAAGCCCACAAGAGGGAGGAAACTTGGGTAAGAGCCAGATGGTCAGAAGGGGAGGGTGTTGGGGATAAAAGACACAAGGAAGTGAGCCCTCCTGGGTCAAATGAAATGGTGGCCTGGCCTAGTAGGTGGCGGGGGCCTCGGGGACCAGGACAAAAGGTTGAAAAGCACTGATCCCTCTAATAAAAAGGGGAGTGGTTCTGAGATGGGCTACAACTTGACTCTGGGGGAGGTGAGTGGGGCAGGCACAGGAGGGTGGCACCAGTGTCAACTGAAGCAGACACCTCTTGCCCCTCCCTGTATGAGCAAGGAAGCATCTCCCATAGGAGTCATGGGCATAATGGACATGGCCTGTATATCCCCCTCCTGCCAGTCCCAGAGTGATTGGTATTGTGGGGAGGGTTGCTTTCTGGCACCTACTCCTAGTCTCCCCTTTCCTGGCTGAGATGACCATGAGTTGATACAGATCCAGATACCTGGGTCTGTATGAACACAGGGTGAATCAACACTGCTCAGCAAAGCCTCTGGGATCCTCCCTGGGACTGGGACACTCCTTGGCAATAGCCTGGACTTCTCCATGCTTCCAGGGCTTGAAGCCATAGGTCCTGATCAAGCCAGTCCCCTCAGGATTTTCCCCCTCCCACTACCCTAATACTGACAAAAGTCTCATGAATTATAAATATCATCTTTCCATGCAGGAATGTAAACAGTTCATCCTTAATAAGTCTCTTATGATATCTCTTTCCTGTTTACCTCTTCATGTTCCACTTGAGTCTTGTATTTGAAAGTCAAATTTTCTATTCAGCTCTGGTCTTTTCATCAAGAATGCTTGAAAGTCCTCTATTTCACTGAATGACCATTTTTTTCCCCGAAGGATTATACTCAGTTTTGCTGGGTAGGTGATTCTTGGTTGTAATCCTATCTCCTTTGCCCTCTGGAATATTATATTCCATGCCCTGTGGTCCCTTAATGTAGAAGCTGCTAAATCTTGTGTTATCTTGATTGTGTTTCCACCGTACTTGAATTGTTTCTTTCTGGCTGCTTGCAATATTTTCTCCTTGACCTGGGAACTCTGGAATTTGGCTACAATATTCCTAGGAGTTTTCCTTTGGGGATCTCTTTCAGGGGGAGATCGGTGGATTCTTTCAATTTCTATTTTGCCCTCTGGTTCTAAAATATCAGGGCAGTTTTCCTTGATAATTTCTTGAAAGATGATGTCTAGGCTCTTTTTTTGATCATGGCTTTCAGATAGTCCAATAATTTTTAAATTCTCTCTCCTGGATCTATTTTCCAGGTCAGTTGTTTTTCCAATGAGATATTTCACATTGTTTTCTAATTTTTCATTCTTTTGGATTTGTTCTACTGTGTCATGATTTCTTATAAAGTCACTATCTTCCAATTGCTCTATTCTAATTTTTAAGGAAGTATTTTCTTCAGTAAGCTTTTGGACTTCCTTTTCCATTTGGCCAGTTTTGCTTTTTAGGCCATTCTTCTCCTCATTGGCTTTTTGGACCTCTTTTGCCATTTGGGTTAGGCTATTTTTTAAGGTGTTATTTTCTTCAGTATTTTTTGGGTCTCCTTTAGCAAGCTGTTGACTTGTTTTTCATGATTTCTTGCATCACTTTCATTTCTCTTCCCAGTTTTTCCTCTACTTCTCTTACTTGCTTCTCAAAATCCCTTTTGAGCTCTTCCAAGGCCTGGGATGGATTCATATTTTTCTTGGAGGCTTTGGATGTGGGAGCTTTGACTTTGTTGTCTTCTTCTGGTTGTATGTTTTGATCTTCTTTGTCACCGAAGTAAGATAATATAGTCTGACTCTTTTTGTGAGGTTTCTCATGATCCCAGCCAACTACTTGAGTTTTAAACTCTTTATTAAGGTAGGAAGAGTCTGCTTCCAATGTGGAGAATGTACTGTCCCAAACTTTAGGGGTTTGTATAGCTGTTTTCGGAGATACTCCTAGAGACCTGTACATTTTCAGTTCTTCCAAGGTGGTATGATAAGGGGCGAGGTGTTTACTCTTTTCCTGGCCTGTGCTGTGGTCTCTGAGTGACTGGCCACAAGCAGTTTTTTCTCTCTTGGAATTGTGAGGAGGGTTTCTTCTCCACTGCCACTACAAGCTCAGCCACTCCAGCACTGCTCCTCACCCCAGGACCGCCACCCAGGACTGTGACCCAGATCCAAGCACGGACAAAGCAAGAGATTCCTGCCTCAGCACTGGCAAAGAGATCCCTGCAGTCCCCCTCAGATCAGCCACTTGATTCCCCCTCAGTCTGTGTGCTGGAAGCTCAGGACACAGCCACCACCCCTGGAGCCCACACTCTGTGCTCTGGAACTAGCTCTGACCTAGCTCTTCTCTCCCTGAAAAAACAGACTTTTCTCACTGACCTTGTAAGTTGTCTTTGGCGTTCGTGGATTGAGGAGTCTGGAAGCCGCCACGGCTGCCAATGATTCAATCCTCTGAGGCCTGCGCCAGGTTTGCTGTGGCCTGCGTGCCCACTTTGACCTGCGCTCCCCCCACCCCCCACGTGCGACATGCCTTTCCAATCAACCATCCAGGCTGTCTTGGGCTGGAAATTTGTTTTACTCTGTCTTTTTGTGGGTTCTTCTGCTTTAGAACTTGTTTAGAGCCATTTTTTTATGGGTATTTGGAGGGGTTTGGGGGAGAGCTCAAGCAAGCCACTGCTTTCACACTGCCATCTTTGCTCCGCACCCCCCCAAGAACATTTTTCACAATGAGGGCTAATCTTGATCAAAAGCTGAGCCCTTAGTGGAGCGAGAGTGGGAGTGTCAAACCTGCCAGTCAAGACAAGATGGGACCCTGCAAAAAATCCAGTGGTGCCTGTCCCTTCTCCCCCAGTACTGGAGAGTTCAGCTTCACTTCTGTGTCCACCCCTTAAAAACTTCTGACAGCAATCAATGTTCCAGTAATCAGGTAGCCATTTAATTAGTTTCAATGTAAGGAAAAGATTTGCAAATCAAGAATTCTCCTGGTTAGAATCCCATCTTGCTAAAATGAAGACAGATTATATACATAAATCACAAGTGGGAGGGGAGGGGGGGGGAAAGTGAATTACAGAAAACCATTTAGTTTGAGAAACATTCTTAGTGTCTGGTATCTTATCCTGCTAGGAGATCTTCAGAATCTTCCTAAGAATTCAAATGGAAGTGATTCCGTTTCCTGGCATGGTGCTAGTACACTGTCCAGCTTCCACAAGTATATAACAATAAGCTCGTCAGGCCCTCAGTTTAATAGTCAGTCTAATACCTCTTCTCTCCCACACTTTCATTCATAGCCTCCCAAACACTGAGCTAGCTCTGGCAATGTGTGTGTCAACCTCAGTATCAATGTGTACATCTTAGAAAGTATACTGCCGAGGTAAGCTAACTTATCCACACGTTCAAAACTTGTCCATTTGCTGTAACCAGTGGTTTCATGTATGAGTAGTATGGTGCTGGCTGATGGAGCACCTGTGTTTCCTTGGTGTTAATTGTTAGGACAAAATTAGCACAAGCAGCAGAGAATCCATCCATACTTTGTTGCATCTCGGCTTCAGAGGCTGCATTAAGGGTGCAGTCATCTGCAAACAAAATCATGCACCAACACTCCTTCCTCTCTGGCCTTGGCTTGTAGCCTTTTCAAGTTGAAGAATTTACCATCAGTGCAGTAGCTGACCTGGATGCCCTGTTTGTCCTCATTGAAGGTGAACGACAACGTGCTTGTAAACATCATGCAGAAAAGCATGGGAGCAAGCACACAGCCTTGTTTCACTCCATTGGTGCCTGAGAAGGTGTGAGAGCATCGTCCATTATCCAGAACCCAGGCAAGCATGCTGTCATGCATTTGAAGTACAATGCTGATGAACTTCACCAGGCAACCAGATTTTGGCATAATTATCCACAAGCTCTCATAACTGACAGTATCAAAGTCCTTGGTCAGATTGACAAATGTGTACAGACCTCTGTTCTGCTCCTGGCATTTCTCTTGGGGTTGTTGGGCAGCAAACATATTGACCATTCCTCAATGCTTTCTGAAGCCACACTGGCTGTTTGGCAGATGACCATCTTCCAGGTGAAGGATCAACCCACTAAGGAACTCTCTGGCAAGAATCTTGCCAGCAATGACTGAGAGAGAAGTTCACCCTACCACCACCACGGTGATTGTCACAGGACAATCTATTTACCTTTACCTTTAAAGAAATGGATAGTAGAGGTGTCCTTGAACTCCTGAGGGATAACCTCTTGCCATATAACTTGGGAAATGCCCATCAACTTTTGTATGAGTAGGGGGCCCCCTTCCTTGTAAATCTCAGCTGGAATAGAATCAGCACCAAGTGCTTTGCCACATGAGAGGAGAATAATGGCATTCAAAATCTCTTCTTCAGTTGGAAGTTCAGCTAGAGAGGGATTGACTTTGTCAACCAGGTGAAGGCCTCCTTCACTCAAAAGGCAGAGGAACCCAAGCTGAGTTAAAAGATGAAAAGCTTTATTAGGAGGAAAATCAGACACTAGTGCTGAAGCACCTCAGTGCAAAGTGCAAAGGTGCTCACAGCTTAGGAGTGGCAGGGACAATTTATGTTTGAAAACCACAAAGGGAGATATGGGGAGGAGTCAGGGTGAGGAATGGACAGTCTTTCCTAGGAACAGGTGGCACTCAGAAGTAAGATGTTTTGCAGGAACAGTTGATGAAGATCTCTTCAGAACACTGTGGAAGTGTTCAGCCCATCCCTCCAGGATCATGTCCTTGTCACTATTCAATATGATTCCATCAGCACAGAATAGTTGAGATGCACCATAGGTCTTTGGCCCATAAATAGCCTTCAGGTATCATAAAAGAGCTTTGGATTGTTCCAGAATTTCATCTGCCTTCTCTAGTTGTGCTATAGTTGTGCTATAAGAAATGACAAGCAGGATGATTTCAGAAAATTCTAGAAATACTTACATGAACTGATACATAATGAAGTGAACAGAACCAGGAGAACATTCTACACAGTAACAGCAATATTGTTTGATGAAGAATCGTGAATTACTTAGCTAGTCTCAGCAATACAGTGATCTAAGCCAATTCCAAAGGACTAATGATGAAGCATACTATCTACCTCCAGAGAAAGAACTGATATTGATTGAATACAGACTAAAGCATGTTATTTTTCACTTTCTCTTATTTTTTTCTTTTATTCGAGTCTTGTACAAAATGACTAATATAGAAATGTTTTATGGAATTGCACATGTATAACCTGTATCTGATTGTTTATTGTCTCAGGGAGGGGGGAGGGAAAGGAGGGAGGGATAGAATTTGGAACTCAAAACTTTAAATAAAAATGTTAAAGAAAAAAAAAAGAATCCTGCATCTCTCTAAGCTTTGCTTGCACTTTACTTTTGATGGAGTTGAACATTGCCTTCTTAGAGACAGATGAGCTATCCTGCTGGTAAACCCTGTGGCGTTCTCATTTAGCAGCTTCTGAAGTTGCCCATCACTTTTCTTTTTTTTTTTTCAATTTTATTAATTTATTTTGATTTATCAACAATCACTTCCACATGCTTTTGAGTTGAAAATTTTTCTCCCCCTTTCTCCCCCCAACCCTCCCCAAGACGGCGCACAATCTGATAAAGGCTTTACATTTACATTCCCATGAAACATATTTTCACATTAGTGAAGTTGTAAGTAAAAATTAAAACCAATAGGAGGAACCATCAGAAAGATGAAACAAAACTCAACAGAAGGTAAAAATAAGTGATAGCGATTTGACTTCCATAGTTCTTTCTTTGGATGTGGACAGCATTTTCCATCCCGAGGCCTCTGGAGCTGTCTTAGATCCTCATAATGCTGAGAAGGGTTCAGTTTAACACTCGTGGTCATTGCATAACATGGCTGTTATTGTGTACAAAGTCCTCTTGGTTCTGCTCACTTCACTCAGCATCAGACCATACAAATCTTTCCAGGTTTTTCTGAAGTCAGCCTGTTCATCATTTCTTATAGCACAATAGTATTCCATTGAATTCATATACCACAGCTTGCTCAGCCATTTCCCCATTGATGGGTATCCTCTCAAGTTCCAATTCTTTGCCACCACAAAAAGAGCTGCCATGAATATTTTTGTACATGTGGGTCCTTTTCCCATTTGTGTGATCTCTTTGGTTCCCCATCATTTTTGACAAACCAATCTTGATGTTTTCAAGAATGCAGGCCCAGATGAGCAAATTTATTGCTATCCAACAAGTCCCTGAAAGCTGCCTGCTCCTTTTCTGCTCTACTGTTGTCAACCGTGTACTGGCTTGGCTTTCCCTCCAAGTTAGCAAAAAACTGTTCCCATTCAGAGAATAGCTCTCATCTGTTGACATTAAGTATTCTGGTAGTTTGTCTTTCATTAGGCCACTACTTTTGTTGAATGCTAATGTTTAGCTTGGAGAAGACCAATCTATGATTGGTCCAGCATGCTATACTGCATATTACCTTTATCATTCTCACATCCTTTCTGTCTCTCCTCCTTACAATGACAGGGCCTATTAAATGCCAATATTTGCTGCAAGAATGCATCCACAAAGTTTTATTGTGTTTAAGTAAATGGAAGACAGGTACAGTTAGGTGGTACAGTGGATAGAGTGCTGAGCTTTTTCCTGGCCTCAAGACACTTACTAGCAGTGTGACCCTGGGCAAGTGACTTAACACTGTTTGCCTACATTTAAAATAGGACCAGAATTTTATTGCACCTGGATCTATTTTCCAAATAATATCATGTAGAACATCAATTTCTAATTTCAATTAGTATTGTATTTTACATGATTTATTATAGTTTACATTTTATTCTAAGCATTTCATATTATGGGATTCACTATTTCCAGTGAGAAGGAATTAGAATTTTCATATTAATTGATATGATATGCACAATGAATATACTAATAACTTAATTTTCTCAAGATCTGGCTGTCTGGCTTGGGAGTCAGAGCTCACAATGCAGTTTAAACTGATTAATCAAAACTCTGACAAAGCTCACAATCACTGGACCTTAAGTAAATTGAATCAAAGATTGTTGAACCTGTTCATCACAGAACTCTGATTCTTCATTCTAGGGGAGGGGGTCACGACCCCCAAAGACGTGACTGCAGAATTGTATTGTGGAGCTTGTGGGTTTCTCATGGGAAGCCACTAAACTACTATAATCTGCCTTCCCCCCCATTGTGATTGAAGTATATAACCTGTGCTTTTTCTTCAGCTAAGGGAACATTCCTCACTCTGAAACTGATTAATTAAACTACTTGATTACTGGCTCTCTAGGCCTGCTTTGTTCTGGCTCCAAGCATTCTCAGGTTAGAGACTGGTCAAGTCTACCCACAAGGGTCTTAACAGGCAAGTGTTGGTGGGCATTTTGCACGTTGTCAAGAAGTCCAGCATGCATCTGCAGGATTATGTGCATGGAATGACTTGTTTACAATAAGATGCTATAAATGGTTACGTGATGCAATATGACATCATCAGAATTTCAGTTGATGATCATTTGAGCCCCAATAAGGGCCAAAGCCTGAACTAATCAACCAGAAGAAGCACCCCAACATAATAGACATATTTTTTCTTTGTTCTCTGAATGAACTCAAAATGCCACTTCCTGTGTCAGCAACTACAGGACCAGATGAATCTGACCAGCGTTCTTCTGTTTATGACCACTAAGGCGCCTTAGATCCGGACACTCCCTTGAGTAATGGGACTTTTCTAAGATCTTGGTATTTTATGGATGTGGCAAATGTGGTTGGGGAATGTTGCTTCTGCATGTCACTCAATCAGGAATTAGAGGCCTAGGTGACAGCATTGAGGTCAGTTTAAAGTGGGAGAGAATGTGAGAAATAGCTAATTTTTTTATATTTACACAAAAGTCACATGGAACTTAAGGAATGTAATCTAAAAGGCTAGGTGGAAGTTGAACAAAGGAAGCTATATTAGAATAAGAAAACACTATTGGTGGTGAATAGCCTAACCTGCTGAAAACCAGTTCTGAAGTTAACATAAAAGGGGTGTTCCCAAATAAGAGCCTAGTTGCTGAATTGTGGGGAGTAGGAGATGTAATTAGGGGTGGGGACTCACATGGGAAAATTAGGTGCTTTGGATTTATAGTACCCAGCCAATGGGAAAACGGGAAGGAAATTTGAACTGGGAATAGGGAATAAAAAGGTGTCCATCTGTCCACACATGTGCTCTCACGTGCATGCTCTCACACATAGGGGACGCCCAGCCTTCCCAGGTCATTAATAAAGCTTCTTCCTGGTTCAACAATGGCACCATGGAATTCGTGGTAGAGATAATGAAGGACATATACTATGCTATGTCATGTTAACGGTAAAAGAAACAGATATCCTGGAGCTATAATTTCAATTGACATTTTGACATTCCCCTATCTTATTGTATTTAAAGCCTATTCAATTAAGAAAATTTCTTTCTCATGCTATGGTTAAACACATATGGAGACCATAAATCTCAGTGACACATGTGAAAAGAAGATGTTTGTGAAATTTTCTGTTTCCACAGAACTTAATGTAAAAACAGGATGCCTATGGATTAGTGTGTCCTGATTAGCAGGTACTCTACATACCATAGTAACCCTAACCCTAACCTGACCCTAAATACATACACACATGTATATACACTACAAGTATTGACAAATAACTAACAGCTGTTCTTGCGTCTGCATGTGATCAATTAGCTTATGTGACACACCTGAAGGTATCAGAGCTTACTCTTGCTTCTGTACTGGCGTCTGTGCTTTTTGGGAGCAACATACCCTCTTCTTGCAAGAAATGAAATAAACATCTTCCTCCATTGACTCTCTCTTTGAGTCAAGTACTTTGCTCGTTTCTATCCCACAGACATCCTGAGTAAGGGTGTAAATGTCCTCCTAAAATTGCTTGATTCAGTCAGAGTTAAAGCTCTGGCTCCATGTACATGTTACTAACTTAAGGGAGTAAACAACATAAATTTACTTATCACCTAGCTTGTTGCCTCTTTAACTGACTTTCAAGGTTGACACAATGGAGGGGAGGGGAAAAGACAAATTTACAATAAATTATTAAACTTAATTATTAAATTTAATTATACCCACTCAAACAATAGGCAGGAGAAATCTTTCGGGAAAAGGGGCGAAGGTCTTTATCTTCAGTACTGCTCCCTGCTGAACAGAGGTGAAGAGTCCATTTCAAGGGCCGATAAAAGGTTGAGGAAGGGTGGTCAGTGTGGAGGTGTGGAATGTAGTGCCAGCTGAGTCCAGGGTGGAGAGAGGCAAACCACTCAGGGATACCCAGGGTAAGGGCTGGTATCCTAAGAGTTGAAAGTGGAATTTCTGCAGGTAAGAAGACACAAATCAGACCAGCAGGTTAAACAAACACAGACCAAATATAAGTAAAATGATGGAGGAACCATGACCTCCAGCAGGATGTAGGGGGAGATATCAGACTGTAGTGGATGTCTGGCATCCAAGAGGCTGCCTGTACAATCATTCAAGTGCTCAAAGGATAAATTCCATGCAGAGTTTTCAGGGAATAGTGGGAGAGCTGTGGGGCACAAGCTAGTTGACACACCCAGCAATCATGTACAATGCCTTGCCCCACAGGAGCATTTTGAATTTAAAGCATTTGATTCCCAGTCCCAGGAAAGCAGGCCTAACCCTAGGCACAAGGTGGAAATCAGGAATATAGATAATAGGAGAAGTGGTCCATGGCAGGGTCCAGAACACAGCATAGCTAGAAAGCACACAGGCAAGTCCCCATAGTGAGAGGCTTCAATGCATAGTCTCCTTTGACTTTTCTGGCTGGTCCCACCCTGCATCTTATCCCATAGCTCACATCCTGCATCCTGCTTGCTCCATCTGCCTCAAACACTCCTGTCTGTCTCACCGTTCACCCAAATGCTTTTGGGAGAGGGTCAAAGGAACTGTGCGTGTCTGAATAGGGGGTGGGGATGGGAGTAAAATGAGGCTGAAGCAGCATCCAGGGGATGAGGAGAGTGTGGAACAGGTATCCTTGTTGCATGACCATCTGCAGGTGGACAGCCAATAATCTAGGTGACACAAGCCTGACAAACAGATTTCAATATGCAGAGCCCAAATAGAAGGGGCATTCAAAGTCATGTCAGAAAAGAGGAAAACAAAGAAAGGAACCGAGAGCCCCATGATGCTATTATTTGCTTTTGACATACAGGATTATCTGATCTTGTTGTTTCCTCAAAAGTTTCCACTCTGTAAATATAAGTAACAACACTTCTGCAGGTAGAGGCTTTCCATCCTTGAGTTCAGTGGTTATACAAACAAATTTACTTATAAGAGACTGACCTTTACTACAGTTACCATAAAAGACTTGGGAGGATATGTGATTAATTCCAAAATAGTGCATATCAATAAGTTGTTCACAATAAAACACGTTTGTACCACAGGACATGCAGAATAAACGGCTATTATTTCCACAATAGTAGTAAACTTTAAATAAAGTTGATGTAATTAATTAATGCATTGATAATTGCATTAATGCAAAAATTTTCCATAAGTTACATCCCTCTAAGAAAATTGCACTGAAATTCTTTTCCCCAAACTGAAGATGTCTCTGATTTAGTTTCAGTAGTTAATAGAACAACAGCTAGGTCCATCAATCAGTTATACCAATACGCATTCTTACATTATTTTGAAACATGTAAGGACCTTATGCCATATAGACATACCTGAAAGTTGGTTAAAGAGACAACAAGCTAGGGGATAAGTAAATTCATATTGTTTATTCCCTTAAGTTAGCGACATGTATGTACATGGAGTCAGAGCTTTAACTGACTGAATCAAGCAATTTTTGGAGGACATTTAATCCGTGACTCAGGATGTCTGTATTACTCAGTTTTATGGTCTCCATATGTTTAACCAGAGCATGAGAAAGGAAATTTAAATAAGAAAGGCAAGTGTTAGATCCAGGATATCAGTGTTTCCTTTACCATCATCAAGGTAGTGTCTGGATTAAAGGTGCCTTAGTGGTCATAAACATAAGAATGTTCTTGATCAGCTTTAGCTGTTGACATAAGAAGGGGCATTCTCAGTTCACTCAGGAAGAAAAGATCAGTTCAGGTTTTTGGTCCTTATTGGGACTCAGTTGATCTTAAATGATTATCATTTCCTCCTTTTGGTCAAAGGTAAGCTGAAGGCTTCACCTGTAGACCAAAGAAAGGTGTGGGAAAAACTTCCTTAGGGGGTGGAAAGAGATGTCCTCTTGGAATGGCATCTGCAGACGATTACTGAGTCCACATCCAGAAGTTGGCAGCTATGGGAGTGGTCACATAGACCTGATAGGAGCTCTTTAGAAGATGTATGAGTTGATAATTGAGAGAAAACAGCATAATGTAAGTCTTTAGTTAAAAACACAAGGAGATGGTTCAGTTTTCCCAGCCACACAGGGCTAGGTTCAAATAATACAACAAAGTTTTCTCAAAATTCACAAAATTGCATAATTACATCATCACGTACAGATTAAACTACTTAGAGGGCTCACAATAGACTACTTTTGAGAAGGGAGATTTACATGTAACCAAGATAACCAAGAAAACTTTAAACATGAACCATACAAATCAATGCAATCATTATTACCAATGTTAACTAACATTAAATTCCTTGTATCCCAGTAAGCTATTCCCAATGTCTATTTTAACAATACCTTTTGAATCCCAGATGTCTCATGTGCAATAGGTTTTATTCTTAGGCAGTTCAAAAAGGGAGTTGTGCTTCTCTGGTTTAGATCAAGAATTTCCTAGGTAATTCTGATTTAGTATAAATTAGTACAATCGCTTAAATGTGGTTCTCCATTTTTGAAACTTCAATTTATATATCATCTGCTGCTTCTGTTCTTATCTAAATCCTGTACCTGGTATAAGAATCTTCTAAAATGTGAGGATCCAACCATAAAATGAGCTCCCCTGTCTTTTAAAATTACCAGATAGATACTTTAATAAAGGAAAAATAATTTCACTTACTTTTACCACTATCCTATACAATTTTTGTGTAAAAATTTATTCTTCTCTAATTATTCTCAATCTGGAAGAATAAGACACTTCAGAATTTGAACCTTATACATATAAGTTCAAACACTAATTTAACTCTTGCTTAGGCCATGGAATGACTATAGATTCAGATCAAAACAGCAAGATCTCTTCTGCTTTACAGCTCATTACAATAATTTAGCAATAAATTACCTTGCAAATGAAAATTTAGTAAGCCTTCAAAAAAAAATCAAATAAGACATTTCTTCTAAAAGTATTTCCCTTCTTTAAAAACATTTAAAATTTATCCTGATGTTAAGAAGAATAATCACTAAACATCTCTCTTTTCCACCTTTAAGTAAAAATAAACCTTTAAAATTGGAATTCATTAAAATTAAATTGATGTAGGATGTCCTTAAGTAACATAAATAAATTCCCAAAGTACTCTAACAAACTAAATTCCTAGTTATTACAGAATTCCTAGATATCACAAAGTTCCTTAGTCAAAAAGGTGTTTGTAATGGAGAAAAAATTCAGTTTTTATAATGCATGAAGAACATACCCAATTAAATTAGCCTTATCACAATAACAAATATTATCAAGCATTTAAAAATTTACTCAGTATTTTTTTTCTTTCCTTTGTCTTTAAATATATCACTGGAAATTAGGAAAAACTATTACATTCTGGAATCTCACATAGATAGTGAATGTGGTAGTCCATAAATCTCCAAATTAACATATCCCAAGGGTTCTTATTTACTCAGGAATTCCACAACACAGGAAACTTTTACACAGACTTGATAAGAATTTTAGATGAAACTTCCTCTTAAAGGTAAATAAGACTTGGAAGTTTATTCTAACCCATTCATTCTCCCCTGGTTTTTTTTTGGAGGGGTAATAATTCTTGATCTAACATCTCTAGATTATAAGAGAAATTGCTTTTTCAACAACATAGCTGATACAATTTGTTTACCAGATTACACCATATAAAAAATTCAGAAATATAACCATACCATAAGCAATTATCAGGTATTTAAAACTTGAAACAGAACCAATTATTTACCTGCTTATAACCAAATATACCTCATTAAATGTTAACAATTTTCAAATTATCAAATTGTATCACATCCTTTTAAAAGACCAATCCATATGCATCATTTCTACCTCACAATGGTCTCTCAAATTTTAGAATCTAAGAGAGTTTTAGAAATACAATACAATTTAGAAACATAGTAATAACATAAACAATAAACTTCAGGTGACATCCATTGCAGTTCCAGATTATCATCTATAGAAATAATTGATCTTATTACTCATGGTATTTAAAAACCACTTCAAAGTTATCAGGTTTGGAACAATTACATTAAATTAGGGAGATAATAATAATGTTGTCTAACATATGCCATTGTGTTAAGCACTTTACAATCATATCATTTTGATTCCATAACAACAACCATTACTATTTTTCCCTTTACAAATCAGGAAACAGGGCAAACAGAGATAAAAAAAAAAACATACCATAAATTACAAAACTGAAACAGAAAAGTATGGGGCTCACCAAGAGCAGAAGTTAGCTTCTCACCTCATAATGCTGTTGCCAGGCCTTCCAGGGGCTTGTGTGGCTGGTACCAGGGCCTTCCCAGTGGTGATCATTCTTGGTGGCAGGGCTTAGGGAATCTCATTATAGTTCTGAGCTGTCTACCTCTTCCCTCCCCACAGCTGCAGAATAAACTGACACTGGTGCCATTTGCAGCAGCTGGGGGCAGGGTGGGCAGAATGTATTGAACCTGGATGATACTCCTAGGCCTTGCCTAGATGGGTGGGCTGCAAGGTGCCTAGGGGCACAGGGCTCATAACGGAGTATCACTGCTAGTCTGTGATAGCTGCCCCTCTCCTCCTTTTGCCAGATGGGGAAGGCTGATCTAAGTTTTCCCCAAGATTCTTCAACACTTTCTTTTATTTTACAATCCCCATACTGAGATATTTATCTCTGAGGAGGGAGGGGAGAATGCTGAGGAATCAGGATTGGGAGGAGGTGTTTTAGCAGAGGGCAAGCTCCTGGAATTACCCCCAGTCTCAAGAGTTTTCAAAATGATCAATTTCCCAATTTCTTAATCTCAAAACCTCCAGAATCTGCTAAGATGTCTTTAGCTCTATCTGACTTTTCACTGTAAGTCTAGTCTGGCCAGGCCTGGACCCACAAGGAAAGGAGTTTTACGGGTTTGTTGTTTTCCTAGCTGCAGTCCTTAGAAGTCTCTGGCTGCCTGCACTTTAAATCTTACAAGATACAGATACAGAAACACACACCGAGAGACAAACTGACAGGACAAACACAATGCAAATATAGTGACATAGTGCACACTTAATGACAGAGAGAGAGGGATTTAGAGGCTTGTTAGAAAACCCCCAACACGAATTGGCTGTTATTATTATTCTGAAGAAGGGGAGTTGGGGAATTTCCAAGGATCCAAGACCTGAAAATGTCACTGGATCTTGCAAGCCTTCCTCAGGGTGCCCCTGAGGTTGCATATTTAAAGGGGCAAATCCCAGTGAAGTTAAATTCGGGGATCTGAGTCCCTTCAGGATCATAGCCTTTAAGGGAAAAGGGGAGGAGGAAGGGGATTAATCTGAGCCTAGGGAAGAGTGCAGAGGCAGCTTTGTGAGTCTAAGGGAAGAGGCTTCTGCTTTTCCTTCTCCTTCAGCCATCTCAGCAACCCAAAGATGAAAACATTCCCACTCCTGGCTAGATGTTTTGTTGGCCTTTAAACTTGATTTGGTTTGAAGATAAAGTAACTTTGACAGGTCAAAAGAACCCCATATTGTGGCCAACATAATTTAGGGTTATCTTTAGTTAACTGACATCAGTGCTGGCAATATTTATGGTCACCAGATTGGCAGTGGCTTGACATATGAGAGGCAGTGGTCTTGTTAGCCGGATTTCTAGTTTTAGTTTCTGACTGACCCATAGCCAATTTCCCTAGAGCGATCCTTACTAGAGGGGACCTAAATGATACAGTAGGTGGAGTTTCTGAACTTCGACTTGATCCCCGACCGCAGAGCTAGCTTAAAAGGAATTTTCTTTCGGACTTCAACCAAATTAGTGGGAGGTCCATGGAAGCTGGGAATAGGAGAAACTTACCCAACCCAGTCAAGGTTAGGACTTCAGGAAAAATGGATCCTGAGGCGCCTGAGCAACTCGAATTGCTGGGGTAGTGTTTTCTCCTACTTCTTCAGTTCCAATCCAATGTCACAGCACCATTACTGTCGACCTGAAAGTTGGTTAAAGAGACAAGCTAGGTGATAAGTAAATTCATATTATTTTATTTCCTTAAGTTAGCAGCATATAACATGTTACATGGAGGCAGAGCTCTAACTCTGATTGACTCCAGCAATTTTAGGAGGATATTTAAACTCTGACTCAGGATGTCTGTGTTACTCAAAAAAAAAAAAAAAAGAAATACAGACTCCATATGTTTTTTTAACATATAGCATGGAAAAGGAAGTTTCTTAGTTGAATAGGTTGTAAATACAATAAAATAGGAGAATGTCAAAGTGTCAATTGAAATTATAGATCCAGGATATCTGTGTTTCCCCTACATATGTCCATAGGATGCCAAGATAAGAAAAGTCCCACTATTCAAGAGAGTGTCTGGTCCCAGGTTATCCTGAGCTTAGTGATCACAGGACAGGAAGAATGCTGGTCAGTTCCATCTGGTCCTGTAGCTGCTGACACAGGAAGAGGCATTTTTAGTTCACTCAGAAAAGATTAATTCAGGTTTTTGGCCCTTATCAGGGCTCAATTGATCTTAAATGATTATCACCATATAAGTTCAAACACTAATTTAACTCTTGCTTGGGCCATGGAATGACTACAGATTCAGATCAGAACAGCAAGATATCTTTTGCTTTACAGCTCATTACAATAATTTAACAATAAATTATCTAGCAAATGAAAATTTAGTAGGCCTTCAAAAAGGAAATCAAAGCAAGAGATTTTTTTTCAAAACATTTCTTCTAAAAGCATTTCCCTTCTTTAAAAACAATTTAAAATTTATCCTAATGTTAAGAACTAAACTTTTATGAAGAACATTAGTTGGAAACTTTAAAGTGATAGATATCTCTCTTTTCCACCTTAAAGCAAAAATAAACCTTTAAAATTGGAATTCATTAAAACTAAGTTGGTATAATATATCCTTAAGTAACATAAATAAATTCCCGAAGTATTATAACAAACTAAATTCCTAGTTATTACAGAATTCCTAGATTTCACAAGGTTCCTTAGTCAAAAAGGTATTTGTAATGGAGAAGAAATTCAGTTTTTTACAATCCATGAAAAAACATACCCAATTAAATTAGCCTTATTTGAATAACAAATATTACCAACCTTTTAAAAATTTACTCAGTATTTTTTCTTTCCTTTGTCTTTAAATTTATCATTGGAAATTAGGAAAAGCTATTACATTCTGGAATTTCACAGACAGTGAATGTGGTAGTCCATAAATCTCCAAATTAACACAGGAATTCCACAACACAGGAAACTTTTACACAGACTTGATAAGAATTTTAGATGAAACTTCCTCTTAAAGGTAAATAAGACTTGGAAGTTTATTCTAACCATTCATTCTCCCTGATTTTGGGGGGGAGGCTACAATTCTTGATTTAACGTCTCTAGATTACAAGGGCATTTAAACCCTAACTCAGGATGTCTGTGTTTCTCAGCTTATGATCTCCGTATGTTTAACCAGAGTATGAGAAAGGAATTGAACAAGATAGGCAAATGTCAGATCCAGGATGTTTGTGTTTCCTTTACCACCAAGATGAGAAAAATTCCCATGATACAAGGTAGTGTCTGGGTTAAAGAAGCCTTAGTGGTCAATAAACATAAGAATGCTCTTGATCAGCTTTAACTGTTGACACAGGAAGGGGCATTCTCAGTTCACTCAGGAAGAAAAGACTAATTCAGATTTTTGGCACTTGTTGGGGCTCAATTGATCTTAAATGATTATCACTAGTAACAGGCAGGTATCTAGGCCAAATACCCATTTCCTAAGTTGCTTAAGAAAAGCAAGAACACAATTAGATAAAACATCATAGTTTTCCAATCATGCAGTATTAATTCCACCTCATAGCCAAGACTCAGGAGTTGTCAGGTGGGAAACATTCCTTTTCAAAGGAACACAATGGGGAAACTGAGCTAGGAGGATCCCATCCTAGGCTGAGACTAAGACTGTCCTCTCAGCTTTTCCAGATGCAGACCTCCACCTGTAATAGTCACATTCTCTCTGAGTAGCTTGTGGCATTTCTCTCAGATGGTGGGTTACTGAATATTGATTATAGATGGATTTTTATGACCCATCAGACAACTCAAAACACAATTCGTTATGGTCCCATGAGCTTTTACTTCAGATGGCAAGTTTCGCTAATCAAAAGTTTGCCATACAAAAGCCAATCACTAGAGATCATATCTATATCGTAGCAAATTATCAGCAAGCTAAATTCCTTGTTTAGTAACTCCATAATCCAAACAAGCTTTTTGGCAAATTTACAGAATTAAGGAGGATCGATAGGGATCCCAGAGAAGGGGCTGCCTCATCCACCTTCTCTACCTTTAAAATTTCTACGGGCTGTGCTTTTTGACTAGTCCTGAGGACTGCCCCTTTCCACACATACACACAGTAATCAATTACCAGCTTTCAGTTTCAGCATAAACCAGCACAATTCTCATAAGTGGTAACAAAATTGTTTTAGCTGTAACATAAAACGATAAACTTCAGATGAGAACAATTGCATTTCCAGATCATATAAACGTCGTTGATAGAAGGCTGGCTCATCAAATACAGACGCAGACTGGCTTCTTTACCCTGACCCATCCCCTCTCTCTCTCTCCTCGTGGCTGTGTGCTGGAAGATACTTCCAGACTGTAGCTGCTGCCCCTCCCCCTCCATCCTATAGCCAGGTCGGGGAAGGTGAATTTGCAGGTGGAGGGTGGAAGGGTCAAACACTCTCTTCCTAATCTGATCTGGGATGAAAGGGGTTAACAGAAAAAAACCCGGGCTGTTTGGAATCCCCACACTGAGAAACCCTCTTGACTCAGGGGGAGGGAGCGGGGGAAGGGAGTGACAAGCTTGTAAGGAGATGTTTAAAAACTCCTTAATGATCAATCTCAAAACTTCCAGAATCTGCCAAGATGTTTTAGCTGCCCTAACTTTTTCACTTCTACATCCACTCCTTAAAAACTTAGAGTGGAGCATTGAACCTTTTAGATCTACATTGGAGAGACCAGTGCCCTTTCTTATGCTACCTGAAGCATGAACCAGTGACTGGGTTTTTCTGAAAGCACCCATTTAAGGCCAATTCAAGGCTACAACAAACCTAGGAATGAAACTTGGAAAATTCACAGTAGATTTGGATATAATTGTTTTCAGTATCAAATTACTGCAACAAATTAGCTTGCAAAAGGAAATTTAGCAGGCCTTCTAAAAAATAACACAAAAAGATTTTTGCAAAACATTTCTTAGTAAAAAGTATTTCCCTTTCTTAAAAAGAAGTTTACAACTTATCCTGATGGTAAAAGGAATAATCACTAAACTTTCATGAAGTAAATTAGATGGAAGCCTTAAAGATTGGAATTAAGTTGGTGTGAAATCCCCAAAGTGCCATAAAATCAAAATTCTCAATAATCACAAACTCCTAAGTACCAAAAGGTTTTTACCTTGGGAAATTTTAGGTTTTTTCTTTACTGTTAGAAGTAGGCTTGACACGGAAAATTGAGTATCAAGAAAATTTATTACAGAGAAAGTCCAGAGGATTTAGACGTTTCTGGCCAGACGCGAGCTCCATCCCTCTTCAGGAGGGGTGGGCCCTGAGTGCAAGGGAAAGTGTGCTTTTATGCAGTTGAATTCAGCCAGGTTACACCTTTCCTTATATGTTTCCCCTTGATATGATCAAGTATGTTCCCCCTCCCTTGGTCATAAGTCCCATGACTCATTAATGAGGCTCTAATTTTATTCGGGGTGTGTCAGATAATAGTAATGAAGCTCATTAAGCAGGCGCAATAACATTTTACAGGTGTCCTCAGGTTGACCCTAACTGGTGTGAGCTTGCTCTACCCTTATCTTGATTTGGGGGTCTTTATGGAACAATCCACCTACTTTTTATTGGCTCAGCCCGAGCCCGCCTACAGTGTACTACTTCCTGGAGCTGTTCTTTAAATCTCTGCATTATTCTACCTGTGGAAAGGTAAGCCCGTCTACCTCTAACATTTACCAAGGCAAGAACATACTCAATTAAATTAGCCTTATCACAATAACAAAGTTTACCAGGCTTTTGAAAATTTACTCAATAGGAATTCCATTATAGGAGACTTGCACAGGGTTGATAAGAAATTATGACTAGATAGTTCCGAAAACCCTTATCTTAATTAACAACTTCATAATCTAACAGTACAATTCTTGATCTAACCACATCTAGATTATAAGAGAAATTGCTTTTCTAACAACACAGGTGGTACAACTGTTAACCAAATTACACAATACAAGAAAATGTAGAAATATAACCATGCCACAAGCAATTATCACATATTTAAAGCTTGACATAGAACCAGTCAATTACCAATCAGGTGACCTTAAATTTAGTTGGATGAGCAAATAAGATCTGGATTCATAATCACTAACGGTAACATTTTAATTTCTAAGGCCCAATTCTCTTAGCACTTTAAAAGAAAAGATTATTAGCCATAAATGCCCTTTTTTTAAAAAAGACATATGGTGACTATTTCCAGCTCCAAATAACCTTTTACTTCCTTTGGCTGGAGTTCCTAGAAGTCTCGGGGTGTAGAGGGGAGGTAATAATTGCAATTTTCCCAATTCCCTATCGCTGAGAGAATTGAAAAAGTTGATAGAATTGGACATACGCTTCTGGACAGGGAGTCTGTCCTCTGTGCTGTGGAAAGTGTACCCAGGTCCATGGACTCGAACCGCTGGACTGAGAGCCTGAGAGGTCAGGCTGAGTCAGACTCATTAGGTCAGACCTGAGAAGTCAGGCCTTCCTAGGTGCTTGGAGAGCCACCCCAACTACAGGGTAAGAAAAGGGATAGGGAGGGAGAGGGGGCTTCCATACCTTCCAGTCTCTTTTACCTTTGAGACTTATCAGATAAGCATTCCAGCTCTCCATTCCCATCCTTCAGGGAATTTTGAGCTGCGTGTACTCGAAAATAAGACCTCGGAAACAGGGTGCAGGGACCCCCAAAGAAAACCAGGTGCAAAGGCCTACCTACCCACCTCCCCAACGTCCTATGGGGGAGGGGAAGGAACAACACAGGATCAACTAAGGTGCAGGGGGAATAAAGCAGAGCAAGGTGCCTTTTCTTTAAGTTTTGGAGACCAGATTTCTCACTAAGCTTGTCTTGTTCAGAAATCCTCTTTACAAATCATTTTTCTAGATTACGTTGAGGTCAGGCTGTGTTACAATGGAATACTAGGCGCTTTTCTTTAAGATCTCCTTCCCTGAATTTCCCAACCTAGCAGTCTCTTAGCAGCCTCTCACTTGTCTTAGCGTCCCAAGACACTTGAGAGGAAAAAATGTGACCGACCCAGCCAAGGGCGGCCCCTTATATGAGGCTCAACAGTCCGACTGACCGCCCAGAGGGCAGTGGAGCTTCACTCACCGCTGGCAGTGTCTGGGCACTCCAGGGGTCTCTCAGCCAGGGAGACAGTAGGAGCAGAAAAGGTCTGGGGAAGAGAACAAAGAAAAGGCACTTACCTGTTATCCCAGTGGCCAGGAGAAGATCGGCGGAGTCCAGTTAATATTTGGACTCCTGGATTTCGGCACCATTTTATGTTGAGGTTTAGAATTGGGAGAGCTGGTTCAGGTGTGAAAGAACTCACTTAGACCTTCTCGGTAGCCCTGGGGAGCTTTATTTCATGAAAGCTTCACCGGCCTGAGGTTAGCAAGATGCTGAACAAAGGTGAGATGTAGGAAAAGACCCAGGCTTGTAGAGACAGAAAGCTGCACAGCCTGAAGGATAATGATGTATTTTTAGAGCTTCATATGGGAGCTGGAGATTAGGGACAGGATAAGAATAAACAGGATGAGGAAGATAAATGACAGAACGCAGGATAAAGGAAACAATGGCAGTTCTTTTGGGGCAGGATGAGCTACAGAGTAAGCCTCCAACCCCCTCCTGGGCCTGGGAAGGGAACCCTTAATTTGAATCCCAGGGCACTCTTTGCCCCCACATCACGGCTGCCTCACTTTCAGTTAGTCTGGGGCTGCAGCTTTATCTTAGCACTATTTCTGCTTAGAAGGGGGAAGAGGCGGGTCTGGGAGGGAGGGAGGGAGGGAGAGAGGGAGGTGGGGGAGGCACCAGAGAGGATGAGTTCTCGGAGATGACCAGCCCGGTGGATGTTGGCCCAGGTGGAGTTGGAGACCTGGGAGGAGTTTAGGGGGAAAAAGGGAATCATGGTACGTGATGAAGGGGTGGGCTTGGGGAGGAGGGGCAGTCAGGGTCCTTGACTCTTGGCCCTGGGTGTGATTGGAGGAAAGTGCTCAGCCATCCTGGGGGGCCTCTGAGGCTGGACAGGGTGGTGCTCTTGGGCAGGAGGACCTACCCAGAGTGGATTGGCTAGAAGCTGGAGTCTTTGAGCTGAGTCTGCTCTGCCTTCCCTGCAACCTGGAATGTCTCTGCCTTCTGGAAGCCAGCTCTGTGTGTACAGATCCCAGGTAGGTCTGAGCCAGGGCCCTCAGTCACAGCCTGGCTCCAGGCTGTCCTTGCCATTGGGCCTCATTCTCCAGGTCTGCCAGAAGCATGCCTCCCAGACTGGCTACTGGCCCAGCTCCCCAAATATCTTTTATAGACTCCCAATCACTTCCTAACCTTCCTGGCTGACCCTCTCAAGATTTCCCATTGGGTCACATTCTCACAAACTTCAGACTTTGCCCATCAGAACCCAGGTGTCCTTTCTTCCAGCCCCCACCTCCTGGGAAAAGATTCAGTTATCCTGCTGAGGGAAGTGAGCAGAACCAGAACGCTGTGCAATGACTAACGTTGATAGACTTAGCTCTTCTCAGCAATGCAAGGATCTAAGACATCTCCAGAGGTCTCATGATGGAAAATGCTATCCATACCTAGAGAAAGAACTGTGGAGTCTGAATGCAGATGGAAGCAGACTGTTTTCTCTCCTTTTCTTTCATTGTTGTGTTTTGTTTCCTCTTTCTGGTAGTTCCTCCTATTGGCTCTAATTCTTCCTTACAACATCACTGTTGTGAAAATATGTTTAATAGGAATGTATATGTAGAGCCTATATCAGATTGTGCCCTGTCCTGGGGAGGGAGAGGGAGAAAAATTTAAAACTCAAAAGCTTATGGAAGTGATTGTTGATAAATCAAAATAAATTAATAAAAAATTTTTAAAAAAGATTCAGTTATCGTGCCTTCAGAGCCAGCCCCCTGTAAAGACCCACAAGCCCTGCCTTCCTGCCCCAGACCCCCCCCCCCCCCCCCGGAACCAAAGCTCTTTCCTCATCCCCCTTGTCTGAATCCTTGTCTCCTGGCCTGGTTCTTTATCTGATCCTGCAGTAAGAGACTGAGGCAGCTGTGCCAGTGGCATTTTATTACAGGGTCCATTGTCCCCTCTAATGACGTGGATGGAAGAGCTTCACGACTTGAGATGCCCCCTCCTTCTAGGGCCCAATTTTTGTAGGGCTAGATATCTAGGCTTTTTTTTGTTTGTTTGTTTAGGCAATTGGGTTTAAGTGACTTGCCCAGAGTCACACTGCTAGTAAATGAAGTATCAAGTGTCTGGTCTGAGACTGGAATTGAATTCAGGTCCTCCTGACCTCAGGGGTCGGTGCTCTATCCACTGTGCCGCCTAGCTGCCCCAAAGAACTTTTTTTTTGCCTTTTTTTTGGTGAGGCAGTCGGGCTTAAGTGACTTGCCCAGGGTCACACAGCTAGTACATATCATGTGTCTGAGGCTAGATTTGAACTCAGATCCTCCTGGCTCCAAGGCTGGAGTTTATCCGCTGTGTCACCCAGCTGCCTCGATATCTAGACACTTTCGAAGAGCTGTACCAGATACAGAATGATTCCACTGCTTAATGTGTGATGCATAGGCTAAAATAAGCAAAATAGTCTATCAGCAGGGTCACAGGCTGGGCCAAGCGGAAATATCTCCCGTGACGAGGTGGTCCCAAGATGGGTGGGCTTCTCCTCGGGTCAGGCAGGAGTTTTCCATAGGCCCCAAGAACATCTGGGGGCGGGGCATTTTCACTCTGCCATCTTGGGTCGCCCCTCGGGGGACTTTGCGTGCCAGCCACGTCCCCTGCTTGTTTGGTCGTGGAATTTGAGCAAAGCTGGATGGAGATGTCTTTGTCAGCATTCTTGTGCTTGTATGTGTGAAGTAACGAAGATCACTTCAGAGTCTGAGGCTTATTATAGGGCCCTTCTCTTAGCAGCTGTACTCCTGTGTGACTTGCACAAAGTACGCATTACTAGATGGCTTATTCTCAACTCAGTATGCAAAAGAGGTGTGGCCAAATGCAGACTCTCATTGGTTAACAGACCTTGCTCTTCAGGGGCCAAAATGACTTATCAGCCGGGAAGGAGCAGTTGTGTAACAGACTGGGTGAAGCTTGGGGCGTCTTCTCTGACTCAGTGGTCAGCAGATGGTCACATGCTCGTGCTGGACAAGACAACGGTCCACAGGCACAGAATTAAGTTGGGGGATTTTCCCCGTAGTTGAGTCACCTCCCCCACACCGGCCTTGGTCACCATGACAGGGAAAAACCAGGATGGAGGGTCTTTAGTTAACTTCCTATGATTAAGTAAGTGACTTTACAGTGCGTGGTGCACAGCTCTGGCGCCCAATACAGAGAACGTCTCATCACCACCCCTATAGAATCATATCAGATTGATCGATACTGATGTGAATCGAGTAGGGGTCCTCAATGAATCAGCTGTTCCAGAGGGTCCCAGGAGTCCTCCCCAGCTCCTAGTTAGACCTCAGGACACAGTTATCCCTGCCTTCCCCGGGCTCAGCTGTCCACCTGGAACACTTTTTCTCAAATGTCCCAGACCTCCCTGTCGTGTGCTATGTTAGACTGTCCTTTCTTCCAGACCCTCCCCCTGTTTCCCTTCCCCAGGCCTCCTGATTCCCTGCCCCCTCCTTCTTTCAGAGCTCTCAGGTCCCGTGCAGGGGGCTGAATCCCAGACTGGGTTTTGTCCCCCAGTCTCAGGCTTCCCTGGTCATTCCCTGGTGGCTCCATCCCAGATCCCTCCCCATCTTCAACTTTCCCATGTCTGTCTGTCTGTCTGTCTGTCTCCCCCCTCCCTCTCCCTCTCACCCTTACCTGGGGCTACTCTGCCCAAAAGGAATAGAAATTTTTAATCTGAGATTTTTTTTCTCCTTTTCTCTTTTTTTTTTTAAAGTTGAGCAGTGGGGGTTAAGTGACTTGCCCAGGGTCACACAGCTAATAAGTGTTATGTGTCTGAGGCCAGATTTGAACTCAGGTCCCCCTGAACCCAGAGCCAGTGCTCTATTCCCTGAGCCAGCTAGCTGCCACCTAGCTGCCTCCTTCTCCTTTTCTCTTAAAGACAAGCCTTAACCCCAAATTGCTCAGGTCCCAGGCCAAGCCCAATTTGGTCTTTATCTGGGTCCTGATTGCCTCAGAATGAATGTAAATGGTAAACATTTGTTTTGACCAGAAACTTTGAAGGTCTTCCCCTTCATAATCTATTTTTTTTTAGTGAGGCAATTGGGATTAAGTGACTTGCCCAGAGTCACGCAGCTAGAAAGCATCATGTATTTGAGGTCAGATTTGAACGCAGGTCCTCCTGACTCCAGGGCCAGTACTCTATCCACTGCACCACCTAGCTGTCCCCTCTATTTCTTTTTTTAAAGAGGCCGTTCTTTGCTTCATTTCTTATCAAGCCTTAATCATTGAACAGGCTTTCCCTCAGTCAAACTGAGACCTGTTAAAGACCTTAGCTTGAAAAGGTCAAGGATCCCTACTGTGTCCTGGACCATCTTCAGTTGGGCACCAGAGGTGAAAGTGAGGCTGGTGACTTTGCACAGCCCTCCCTCCCTTAAATCCAGTTCATTTGCATGACATGACATCACCTTCCTGATGTCATTGTCCTCTTCAGGAAAGAAAGCCAATCAGCAGCAGCTGTCTTGGACCAAATGGTCAGCCTGTTGTTTAGCTAATGTGTGTGTTAGCTGGGGAGAGGGGATGCAGGGAGGGCAGAGGAGCAGCTGAAGGGAGAGCTCTGACTCAGGGGTCATTGAGACTCTGACTGGCCTCATCCCATCTGGGATCCCAAGCCCACTCTGCCTCGTGGGGCTCTATAGGAGGGTGAGGGGAAAAAGGGAGGCAGAAGAGGGGTAAGAGAGGGAGGGAAATAGTCTTCCTGTTCAGACCATCTTCATTTCCAAGCCTGACCCTCCCTTCTGCTTCCCTCCTTCTACAGGTTGGAGTCTTTCCCCTGAAGGCAGGGCCTAGGTCTTTCTAATTCCTATGGGACCTTGCCCTCTGTAAATCCCTGTAGGGGAGCCTCCTGCCTCCAAGGAGAGCGGAAAGAGCTCTCTCTTTCTGGGCTCCTTCTCCTTCCCCAGCTCAGTCTGCAGAGAATCAAGGCCTGGCCCAAGCACATCCAGACCCCAAAGCTGGAGGGAAATGAGAAGTTTTGTTAGAAGGTAAATAGCAAACCCCCAGAGTATGAGCCCCAAGGCAGTCGGATTGCAGGTAGGGCAGATGGGCTTTCTGTGCCAGGTAAAGAAGGAAGGGACTTTCCCGGTGGCTCCAGGCTGTCTCGAGGTCATCAGAAAGGCATAGAATCACAGCATCCCATGAGAACTTAGGACATGGGGTAGAGAGAGCTTTGGCTGCTGCTCTGTTTGGGGGGCCACAAAGGGTGGGGGAAGCAGACGCCTGGGGTAGATAAGGTCCCAGGGATAAGATGGAGGAACTTTACAAAATGAAGTCACTTTGGTTCCTTTGCTACCTACACAGGGAGTCTGGATTCAGAGGGAATGGCCCCCGGGAGCAGCCGAGCCCCAGCCCAGGTGAGTGCAGTCCACCCCCAGACCTGACTGTCATCAGCAATCAGGCCATTTCCATAGATACTGTGGCTGGTCTAGGAAGCTGGCCATGCCTGCCTCATGGATCATTTCTGTACAAAAATAGGTGTGAAATTGAATACAGTAGTAACAATGTTGCCCTGCTCCCATCTTTTGTGTTTTAAGCTGATCCGCTGGCACCCTGGTTTCTTGAGCACTC